TCACTGGGAGGTTCAGGGTCTTCTGACTGTGGGGCTGTGAAGTAGCCATATCCTGTACCAGGCTATTGGCATGGTGTCCACTGACTTTGAAAGCTCATGACTCAAGAGTCTTTATAATAACATCGCCCGACAGTTGCCAATATTGTAGGAATCGCGTTTCTTGGGCACTGCCACCTGCAGGACAGCATGCTGAGTGCTGTCCTGCCTTCTACCCACCAGGGTCCTCCTTCGGCCTGCACTGGTTCACACAAGGGTGTGTTGTAGGGTGAAGTGTGTCCCCACAAAAGGTAAACTGAAGCCCTAGCTCCCAGTACCTGAGAATGTGATCGTATTGGAAAGAAGGTCTTTACAGAGGTAATCAAGTTAAGATGAGGCCATCAGGGTGGGCCCTAATCCAATATGACTGGTGTCCTTATAAAAAGGAAAACTTGGACACAAAACCAGACACGCACAGAGGGAAGATGATGACATGAAGGGACAGGGAGAATGCCATGTGAAGACAAGGGACTGGAGGGTCAGAGTGATACATCTATGGGCCAGGGGACACCTGAGCTACCAGGAGCCAGGAGCCAGGCCTGCAACGCTTCCTTGCCTGGAGCCTTCAGAGGGGGCACGGCTCTGTGGGCATCTTGATTTTGGACTTCTGGCCTCCAGAGCTGTGGGACAGCACGTCTCTGTTGCTTAAGCTGCCCAGTTTGTGGAGCTTTGTTACAGCAGCCCCGGGAAAGTGAGGTTCAGGGAGGGGAAGGGCTTCACTCAAAGCCACACAGCAAGGCCACAGAGCTGGGTGGGATTCAAACCTGGTCTGTTTCTGACCCTTGCCACTACATTGCATGGCAACATGCTCTGTGACCTTGGCAGTGGCGGTGTCCCCAAGGCCCAGCCTCAAGTTTGCCAGGTGGGGTGACATCGCTCCCACTGCACGTGGAAGACGCACATGGAGCTCAGGGTGTAGCTATCACTACACCCAAATATTCACTACTACGCCCCACTAATATTCCTCTTATTCAGACTGCACGGGCCAATCTCTGCTGTGTCTCTGACTGTTCAGGGGAGGAACCTACAAATGCTCAGGGGCCGGCTGTCCATCCCCCGGCCGCTGTGTCCCCCTTCACAGCCGCTGCCCCCTTCTCCCTCTGCCCAGCCTCCCCGGCACTGTCCACCTTTTGCCTCACCTTGCCCGTGGCGCCATGGGACACATACTTGGCTCCCTCCCGCTTGGCGATCTCCACTTGTTTCCGGGCGATGCAGGGCCTGGCCAGAGAGGTGCCCAGGAGGTAGCGGTCCTCGTACCGCGAACTGGACTGAATGGCAGGCCAGATGAACTCCTCCAGAAACTCCTTGCTGACGTCCTCGATGAACACCTATGGGGAGAGGAGCTCGTGGGAGGGGGGCTCGACAAGGCCAGGCCCAGTCAGCAGGCAGAGCCCCAGAGGCCTCGAATGGCCTGTGTCTAAGGCAGACACTGCTAATGGACCCTGGCAAGCTGTATTCTCCACTCTTCCTCCTGCCTCTGTAGTAGACATCGCTAATCAACCCCAGCACATACAAGGTCAGACAATTAAGTTCGCGAACTCATCCTCAGAGAAGTGCTCCATACCTCACTGCTGAATGTCACTATGGTCACCTTCGAAGCACTGCCCTTGGGAAGCTATGCACCGACGCCAGTGCCTAGTCCACCCTTCAAAGCAATTTTGGAGCTCTTTCTGGAATGGCCATCAGAGCTGTCATCATATTACCCTTGATGTCCTAAATGTTATCAAAATGTCTTCCTTTCAATATTTCCTTTATCTTCAGGTAAAGAAAAAAGTCACTGGGGGCCAGATCAGGTGACTAGGGAGGGTGTGCCAATACAGTTCTTTGTCTATTGACTAAAAACTCCTGCACAGACAGTGCCATGTGAGCTGGTGCATTGTCGTGATGCAAGAGCCATGAATTGTTGGCGAAAAGTTTAGGTCGTTTTTGTCTGACTTTTTCAAGCAGCCTTTTCAGCCCTTCCAAATAGTAAACTTGGTTAACTGTTTGTCCAATTGGTACAAATTCATAATGAATAATTCCTCTGATATCAAAAAATGTTAGCAACATCATTGCAATAAGTTTGCAAACTTAATCATCCAACCTCTACAATACCATTACTCTCCCTCCTGCACTCAGGGCAGACGTTGCTAATCAATCCTGATACACCATCCAGGTAAAACTAGATGTGGTCTTTAAGTCCCTCCCAGCACAGCATTCTGGGCCTGAGATGAAACTTAATTGCCACCTAAGCTCTAGAGCAGCAGGTGGATGTCATCCATCCGTAAAAACCAGGGGTGATTTTGTCCCCAGGGGACAGCTGGCAATATCTGAAGATAGTTTTGATTTTCACAACTGGTGGGTTGGGTGAGGGTTCTGGCACCTACTGGGTAGAGGCCAGAGATGCTGCTAAACATCCTCCAATGCGCAGGACAGCCAGGTGCATGCTACAGTGCCAAGCTGAGAAACCCTGATCTAGAGGAATGGTTCTCAAAATGTAAACCCTGGAGGTCCCCAAGACCCCTTCCAGGAGACTCTGAGTGAAAACATTTTTTTACAATGATACATTCATTATACACAAAAGCAGCGATGGGCGGGAAAGGGCTGGCACCTTAGCACAAACAAGCTGTTGTTCTTCATGCCTTGCTTTCACAGTGCCGATTTCATTTAAGAACGGTTTTGAAGAAGCAGTAAAAATGATTATTTTGTTAAGTCTTGACCCTTGTGTGGGACATGTGCTACATTCCAAAGTGAGTTACAAGTGCCCTGCAGAAGGAGCTTGTTCTGACTGGATGCCAAGGATGTCCCCACGGGAGCTGCTTGCATTTTGCACCGTGAGTCCATGTGAGCAGGGCCCGTTCAGCATATGGGCCCTGCACCCAGCACGGGGCCTGCTCACCACACAATTAGATTCTCAGCCAATGCGCAGAACTCAACTGGACTTTCCTGATTCTGTTGAATGGGTGAAAGGATGGGTGGATGGACACAGAGGCAAAAGAGGGATGAACAGGTAGGTGGATGGATTGATGGATGGATGGATGGATGGATGGAAAGTGGATGAGTGACTGGACAGAGATAAATGAGGGATGGGCCGGGGGATGGGTGGGTGCATGGATGGATGGATGGGGAAGAGAGGGACGGGGAAGTGGTTGAGTGGCTGGGGAGGCAGGAAGGGATGGCACTTACACAGAAGGAATTGCTTTCATACTCTAGGAAGCAAGAGGGCCAGTTGGAAGGAATGCACGGGACAAAGAACTTTGGGACAGAAAGGCCCACTGCTGCCCCCACCATGTCAAAACCTCACTTCCAGCCCCAAACCCCGCCTCCCACTTGGTACCTTCTTGGCCCCGAGCTTCAGGGCCTTCTTCCTGGCTTCCTCGAAGTCTTCCGCTTGACCGATGTTGGCCTGAGGAGCAGAAGCGGAGAGGTCCAGCCAGTCAAGGGGCAGAAAGACGAGGGTGAGGAGACTGTCACCCTCCCTGGGGAGCCAGGGCAACAGCCATCCACACACTCAACAGCCTCAAATAGGAGGTGGGGGGCCCATTGGATAGCTCAGGTCGCAGTAAGGAGAAAGGGCACAGACCGGGGTCTGGAGAAGCTGGAGTACTTCCAGGAGCTAACACTGGGTGTTGCTGGGAAGCGAGCTCTGTGGGTTGAAGAACCGGCTAAGTGTGACTCCATGCACTGGGCTGCTGGGCCACACACGTGCTGTCACTGCCTCGAAGGCTTCCCTGGAGCCATCTGTCTCTTCCCGGAAACTCCCCGAAAGCCAGGACAAAGGTTGGCTTGTTGGGAGCTGCCCACCCCGCAGCTCGCTTCCCCAGCCAAGCACAGCTACTTGACATCCGAGCGGGCAGGAGGCACAGAGGCTGGTGCCCGGCACTCCCGGCTGACCGGAGCTGCAGCCTGACCTTGGGGTCCGAGGGCCCCTGTCTAGACACCGACGTGTCTTCTGCTGGCTGCACTCTGGCCTGCTGCCCAGACTTGGGCCCTGCATTCTGCTCACCAGACCCTGGGATCCTCCCAGAACCCAGCTGCAGGTGTTCTCCTGAGGTCACTCAGCTTTTACACCTGCCCGGAAGTAACCTGGGATCTGGACTGTCCCTTTGTGCTGCTGACAAGATCACTCCCAGCTCTGCATCCATGCACAGCTGTGGCCCTCACTCACCAGGTAACTGAGCAAAGCACTTCTCCTCCATGGGCCTCACACCCCCCCGACCTGACTGACAGGGGACTGGGAGCTGTTAGGTATAGTGTATTGACTTTAACTTCAAACAAACCACTCCTGGCAACAGCTGGACTTCCGCCTGTGCAGAGGACCATCCTTACTTCCTCTGGGGACAGAGCCTTCTTTCCTGGGGCCTCTTTCCATAAGGTTGGAGGAGAGCAAATCACACGTCTCCTCCTCACTGCAGGGGCTGGCCCATGACCCAAGACTAGCCGATCAGAGCCCGCCAAGGCACAGCAGTAGTGACCAAGGCATGGTCGGCCAGTGAAAGTACCCCTGGGCCCTGCTGTCAGAACCTCTGGGGAAGCTCTCCTTTCTCTGGGAAAGCTAGATTCTGGTGGCATGAGCCTTGCCTCCTCTGTGGAGAGGCCAAGGTTGAAGCCAAGTACAGATGGAGACAGATCTAGACAAGCACCTGAATTTAGCTGTGCCTGAAACCATCACACCCCTGGGCTTCTCAGTTACATGAGCCAAGAACTGTCCTTTTTTTTCCCTTAAGTGAGTTTGAGTTGGATTTCTAAAATTTGCAGCCAGGAGTCCTGAACAGCACAGACACATGGAGAAAGGCTCAGAGGCTCTGCCAACTTCATCAGAAGTGGAGCTGTTTGGATTCGGGATGTCTGCCGTGGACCCTGGTGGGAGAGTGGCATCATGCATCACCTACTCCTGCGGCCTGCGACCTGTTTGCCATTCCATAGCCAGGTGGTCTCCGAGGCCTCTGCCCGCTCAGCTGCTGGATTCTACAATCTGCTGAACTACTGGGGCTGACCAGGACTTCTGGAAAGGGGAAGCCTGCCTTCCTATGGTCTCCAGCAGGCCCGAGTCCACGGGGTCTGTCCAGGCAGCCTGGCCTAGCAGCACTGCCACGCTCGCTTCTGGTGTTCCCCTCCAGTCACCCGCAGGAGAGCTGGCCTCCTCTACGGTCGGGGGGACATCAAGGATGCTCATTTGACAGATGAAGAAAGTGAGGCAGCCTAATGAGCCGCATTTTCCTGCAGCTCAAGACAGGCGTGGGAGAGTGACAGAAAGCAGATGGGCAGGCTGGATGGGCAGCAGGCAAAACGGCAGACCAGTGCCCTGGGGGACACCTGCTCACCAGGTAGGCAATGACGTCATAGCCCTGTTCCTTCAGCCACACGAGAATGCAGGAGGTGTCCAGGCCGCCACTGTAGGCCAGAACCACGGCGCCTTTGCTGGACATCGTCTGGAGGGAGTTGGGAAAAACTTGAGTGACAGGGCCAGCCCATCCCCACCTGTCAGCTGTGTCAACAGCTCCCTACTGGCCTGACCCCAGCCCCTACCTCAGCCTTGGGTAGCCTTCTCCCCTGGACACGCTGCCACTGGGGACTGGAAACAGGATACTCACCATCATCAGAGCCAGCTGAGGAGGTTCCTTCCTGCAGCCATACCCCTTCCACCCCCACTGAACCTGGGGACCCCGATCCGATACTACACACACCCCCCACACACACACACACACGCCACGTTGGGGTCTGGGAATGCTGACAGTAGTTTGGAGCTGCCAGGGGGAGGCATGTCTTGGAGCCAATCCCCACCAGCTAGAGAAGGCGCCGGAGGCTGAGCTGTTTGGACAAGGGTGCAAAGGACACACAGCAGTCAGGGGACTTGGGAAGACCCTTGGCCCTGAGCCTCCAGAAGCCCACACATCCCATTCAGAGCTCCTCCTCGCTAAGCTCGGACAGCGCCAGGCCAGGCGATCACTCTGCACCCGCACTATGACCCTGTGAAGTAGGTGTTGTCAAGCCTGCTGGGGAGGCAGAGACGGGGACTCAGAGAAGTCCGCGGCCCCTCGAGGCCAGAGCTCACGTCTGTGTCTGGCTCCAGAACCCGGGCTCTTCCCAGCATGCAGTGCTGCCTCCCAGCTGTAGGTGGACTAGGAAGTGGGGGCAGAACCCCTACCCCCATGACCTCTCTCTCTTACCTGGAGCCCCAGGGAACCTTCACATAGTGGGGTTTCAGGGTCTTTTAAAATGCAAGTACCTTTGAGAGGGGGAAACACAGGGAGCTGGGCACCTCAGTGAACTCAACTCTGATCATGACCAGCTGGGAGGAGCTCAAAGACCAAACTCCCAGTGTACAGATGGAGAAACCGAGGCCCAGAGAAGCAAGAAGACGGGCAGAGGCACAGCGCCGCTCTGTCACCTGCAGCTCCTTCCCAGGAGCTACAGATGACAGACCTGTCCCTCTGCAGCAGATGTGCTATTTCCCACTCTGACCCTTTCCTCAGCTGCAATGAAGCGCTTGCTTGAGGTCATATGGTCAGCAGGTGGCAGGGCCGGATTTGGATTCAGGCCATCTGGACGTGGTCCCGGCATCCCACATTTCCCGGGGATGTGCTTGTGTCTGGTGGGAGCGTTTAACTGCAGTGTGGCCCAGGTCAGGGTCCTTATTGGACACTATTGGGAAAGAACCACGAGAGACCAGGAGGAGCGCCCTGCCTTCACCACCACCATGACGCAGGCACCTGTGTACTGGAAACTTTCCACGTGCCCAGAGGTTCCGAGAGGTGAGCGGCGGCCCAGCCCTGTGCCGCAGAGCCTGGACACAGAGCCCGACCATGTGACCGGGATACACGTCCTCTGTGCAGTCCCTGACAGGTCCAGCCCCACGGCCCACACGCCCCTACTGTCCTTGGACTTGGGAGGAAACACCTCGTGGGACAGTGAGGTTGGGGGGTGGTGTTTCTGATCAGTGACCACAACTCTCCCCTCCTCTGGCCATGCAACTACCTGCCAGGCCCTGTCCCTGCCAGCTGAGCTGCTGGTGACTCACCACATCCTGACCCTGGGGCAGGCAGACAGTGCCCATGGGAACCGCAGCCAGGCAACAGGCCATTAAGGATGAAGGGAAGGAGGTGGGAGGAAGGCAGGAAGGACTCAAGGTGGGCAGTACCTGGGGTTGGCGGTGTGTGTTCCCGGCTTCTGGAATCTGTCTTCGCTGCTCAGCAAACCACTCTGTGGAATCAAAAGCTGCTCAGCTTCCTGGCACAGCAGCACCAGCCTGAGGGTGGGGGGTGGGGGGTGGGGACTGGTGCCAGAGGCCCTGAACCAGGCTTTGCAGCCGCTAGAATCCCCTTTGAGCAGCCTGGCTGAGCGGGGAGGTTTGGGGAGGTGTGGTTGGGGTGGAACGTGTGTCCCGTTGCATATTTTTAAATTGAGGTATAATGGATGCAGAATAAACTGCATGTACTGAGGGTGTCCGATTTAGTGAGCTTCACCATGTGTCTGTACCTGTGACACCATCACCACAATCAAGATAACCAACATGTCCACGGTAACTAAGCTGAGTCTTCCATTTGTGTTGTCCCCATTTTAGGAACAGGGAAACAGAGGCTTGGGTTAAGGAACTTGCTCAAAGCCTTGCTTGGCTGATAAGTGGTAGAGCCAGGATTGAAACCCAGATCAGCTGGGCTTCCAAGTCCAAGGCTACCCCTGTGTAGGGGAGCACAGGGAAGGGAAGTGCTAGGGCCAGGTGTGGTCTGTGAGACATGGGTGGTTCCGACACCCTGGCAAGGCAGTGGGCTGGAGACAGGCGGAGAGGATGCGGGCCCAAGATGCACCCAGCTCTTAGAGTCACCCCTGCTCTGCCAACTCCTAAAGGCACCTGGAATCAAGAGGGGGCGCACCAGTGTGGGGGAGGGGTAGCTCCATGGAGACAGACCAACCGCCTGTGCCCGTCCCACCTGCTTCAGTGGTCCCACAGTGCCTTGCATGTGACCCATCATAACACATGTCACACTGCTTTCTAACTCCTTCCGCCCACTGGCCCAGAGCTCTGTGGAGACAGGGACCATCTGGTAGTGCCTGGCATGTGGCAGGCACTCGGAACAACACTGTCCATTTTACTGTCTGGAGGTCGGCTCTTCACCTACAAAAAGAGAGGGTTAAAACCCCCTCCGAGCCTGGAGTTGCCTGCATGCTCTTGTCTAGAAACTCGTGAGCCTTCCTGCCTGCCACACTGTGCGCCTGCGTGGGCATGGAGGACCTCAGCCTCTAGGTCTGAGCGGCATGAAAGAGCGCATGCACCTGGGAGTGTGTACCTGAGAGTGGACGCGTGTGTGCATGCCTGCACGTGTGTGTGTGCACATGGCATGTTTTGGCCTATGTGTGCATGCACAGAGATTAGCTGGGCAGGCAGCCTGGGGAAATGATGCAACCTGACAATGGCATCACTCCTGCCCTCCCCTCCCTACCCCAGCACCTGGCGAAGCTCCTCCCCCAGCCAGCAAGGCCTCTGCTGCAGAAACTAGATGAAGCTGAGGCCTTGACTTTGGGGGAGGAGAAGGGAGACCAGCCATAGTCCACTATGGGTAAAGCACAGTGGCTGGGTCCCTAGACCTGGGTTTAAGTCACATCTGCAAAACAGGGATGAGAACAGCCCATTCCCCACAGGACTGTGAGGATTCAGCGAGATGCTGGGGAAAGGAGCCCAGAGCTGGGTACCAAGCCTGCGCCCACTGAACTCTCCTACCACTGCCATGGCTGACCTCAGGCAAGCCCCTCACTCTCCAGGCCTCAATCTCGCCATCTGCACAGCAACCTGAAACCCCTCTGGTTCTGACACTGGGCTGCCTGTCTGGGGGAGGTGTCCAGCGTATCCTGGCTGGACTCAGCCTCCCCCAGTCCCGGGCTTGCCCCCACCCCACCCTCCACGAAGGGCCCAGGGCAGGTTTCCCAAGGTCCCAGCGCCAACCCAGACATCCTTCACTGAAAGAGGGCTCCTGGGAGGAGGAAAGAAGGCGGCCCCGTGCCAAGATGCCTGCCAGCCTGGCCTGAGTTAGCAAGGCAGGGGGCATTCTTCATGGCCCCGGCCAGCGCCATCCCACCAGCTTCCAGTGGACGTGCCAGGCCTGGGCACTCGCTCAATGCTGAGAAAACTCATGCACTCTAAAACGTCAAAGTGGGGACAATGACAAAAACAGATACTATGTTCGGAGCCACACATGCGAGACTAGAATTACCACTCGAGGCTCAGAAAAGTTAAGTGACTTGCCTAGGCCACCAGCTAGTGGATGGCAGTGCTGGAACCGAAACCCACAAAACCCAGGCTAAAGGGCAGAGGATCTGCTCTTTACTGCTCTGTGCTCTGTATACTCTGGACTCTAGGAGACCACAGATCGTCTCCTCCTCACTTTACGCATCTTCCAGAAAACAAAATTCCCAATGAGTCACTGCCAATCAATATTCTGTATGTCTGTACGTCTGAGCTACAGCCTGGTGAATGGTCTTCTGGAAGCCCTCCCTGACACTGGAACTCAGCTAAGCTGGGCTCATTATGGTGTTTAAAAACCCTAGCTCCACCCAGGCCACAAGAATTCTCTTGGACTTTGGGATTTCCCCGTTCTAGGACCGCCGCTCTTATTCACGCCCTCTTTCATGGCTGACCCGAGCTGGGCTGCAATTCCAACTTTGGCCAGAAGGTGCCACTGTCAGGATTCCACCTGAAAATTTGCATGATAGACCCCACTCATTTCATCAGCCGGTTCTTGGTGAGTCACAGACAGGGGAGAGGTTTTTTTTCCCCAAATGACAGGTGAGGAAACTGAGGGCAGGAGGCTCGCCCTAGGCTCCACACTGAGCCAGCTTTCAGCTGTGATTCCTGGGGCCTGAGAATCAAATCAGGAACACTGAGCTCTCTTGGGCCCACCAGCACTCCAGAAAGCTCCCTCCACCAAGGCTGAGGGTCATTTGGGAGTCTGCCTTGGCTTAGGAAGGTTGAGTTTCCAGTTTCAATGAAAACGCCCTGAGGTAGGTGGTACAGAGACTAAGTAGATCTCACCAGGCCCTGGTGAGACACGCAAACCCTCTCCTAAGAGCACTTACTTATGGGGAAAAGAGTGCATTCATTCCTTTCTTCATTCTAATAATATTGAAACACCCATGGATGCCTGGCCTGTCCCATGTCTGGGGAGGAAGTCTACTCAAAGGAAGGAGGCAGCCAAGACCTGGGATATTAATTTTGCCCAAGGTGTTACATCAGCAATTAGAGTCTCAGGCCCTGAATTCCAGCAGGTTATTTCTTTCCATAGGGTCCCCACAAGGCAAGGCACTCACTCAGGGGCTGTGTGCTCAGATGAAGGCATCTGGCTGTCCTGGAGGCCTCCCAGGGCCCATGGGGCAAAGATAAGATGGGCCGGGAGAAAGTGCCTGCACAGCGGGTGAGTGTGGGCCTGGTCCTCACCACAAGTCAGGCTCCTGCGGCCCTGGGCCAGGGAAAAGGGTTATCAGTACCAACTTACTGCACAAGCCCAGAGCGGGCAGGCAGCTGGTGGGGGCACATGTGAACACGCAGGAGAGCTCAGTGCTGAGTGGGGGCCTCCCTGTTCTACCCCACCCTGTGCCAGGGCGTGGGGTCTGGGCCCTCAGCAGGCAGCAGTCATCACTCATTCACTAGCACTTAGCGGAGCCAGAATTACTTCTCAGCATAGCTCACAGCCGGCTCCACCTGGGACAGCAACTCCCTAAGTGGGGGATGGGAGGGGGAGGGACTTTAGAAAGGAGACTGTTCCCGCCACTTCCAGTCCATCACCAAAGTCCCCATCCCCTCTGTGGCAGCTTCTGCCTCCCCCGTCTTCCTTCTCCTCCAGAACCCAAGGTAAGAGGGCCGGGAGCCCGTCTTTTCTTCCTGCCCTCAGCTTGGCTCCGCGAGGCGAGGTGCTCCCCAGACTCAGTAAGCGAGTGGACCCAGACACTGTTCACAACAGCCTGCAGAGACCTTCCGCTGAGCCCTGAGCCTGTGTCAGCTCTGACAGATGGAGACACTGAGGCTTGGGAAGCCGGGAGGCTGACCCAAGGCCTCACCCAGTGTGCCCACCTTCTCTTCTCGGGGTTGGGGTCTGCTGGCCTCCAGAACCTGCCCTCTTCTGTCACCATGCGTGGGCTGGGAGGGAGGGATCAAAGCCCAGGACCTATTTGATCCATCCCTGGGGAAAGGACACGTTTGTTCCTGCCCAGATGTGCAGCCAGACCGCGAGGCTCCGGAGGAGACGCCCCACTTCGCAGAGAGGTACGCTGAGATGGCGGGGTCGCGGCGCCTCCTCAGGAAAATCCCAGGCAGGATGGGAGAGGAGTTTCCTCCATTTCACAATGACCCTCCCTCCCTTGCAGGGCGCTGCCGCCCAAGGGGCCAAGGGCAACAGCCACCCGGACCGCGGACATTTCCTGCGGAGCGGCCCCTCCCACAGCCCCGAGCCCAGTGCCAGCGGGAAACCTGGCACCGCTGCGGGGCGAGGTCACTGGCCCCACCTGGGCAGGGAACGCAAATGCCTTTCAGGAGGCAGAAGGCGACTGACGCCCCCTGCCGGGGAGGGACCCCAGCCACAGCCCAGGCACTGGGCGGGCAGCCCCGGTCTAGGAGCCCATCTGCCCGGGGTAAACTGAGGCTCGGGGCTGTTCGAGGGGCCGAGGGGCCCAAGCCCGGGGGCTAGGGGCAGAGGTGGGGAGGAACTGTGGTTTCATCCAGAGAAAAAGAGGCGGAGACAGCGCCAGGGGAGGAGAGGGGTGCGAGAGAATCGGGAACACGCAAATCCAACTCCCAAGGTCCCCATTTGGGGGGCTCGCGCCATAGAGGAAGCTGGATCAGAGAAGGGAAATCCAGAGAGGCCCTCGGATAACCCGACCTGCTCCCCAGACCCGGGGTTCGAGCCGGGGACCCATCCCCGTGACCCGAGCCGACAGGCGTTTGAGCAACAGGAGCCCGGGCGTCGGCCCCCTTCCCTCCGGTCCAGGCGCGAGCCACGTACCCTTCGCCTCCTCGGCTCGCTCTCGGTGGGATTGGAGAGAGGGCGACCTAGGCTAGGAGGTGGGAAGGGGACTCCTTACCGGAACCCAGGCGGCGGTGGCAGGTGGTGGAGCAGGGCCGACTGCTGCGCGCATCCCGGGTTATAAGCGCAGGGCCGGGGGCCGGGCTCGTGACCCGGGACACGTGGAGGTACGCGCGCGACAGGCCCCGCCCCCCGGGCCCGGCCCCCTAGAGGAGCCGCTCAGCGTTCGGGGCCGTGGGCGAGTGGGCAGAGCCAGCCTCTCCCTCCCTCCTTGCTTCCCCCCTTTTCCCCTCCTCCCCTCACCCTGAGGGATGCACCCCCCCTCCAACGCCTTCCTCTCACTGCAGGCACACCCTTCCGAGGGCGCTAGCGGTGTGGGTCTCCCCACCCTGGCCCGGGAGACAGGCGGCTCCCCAGGGCGCCGCAGGGGCTGGAACCCATGCAGCTGGCAGGGTGACCGCAGTGGTCCAGCCAGAGACTTGCAGCCGGGGCGTGGGGAGCATGCAATCGCTGGGAGGCGGGAGTGGGGAGTCCCTTACGCCCGTGAGTTTCATGCTCACTTTGTTCTGTGCCTGTCTTTCTGCAGACCTTCAGCCCCTCCCTCCCTTAACCCCACACCTGCCCCTGGGATCCGGAGCCCATTGTATGGGTGGGAACACCGAGGTGGAGGTGGTACTAGATTAGAAGGTCTGTGTTTCATCCCAGTACAGGGCTGGTTCCTGGCTGTCTCCCCAGAGCTTGGCACCTGACCAAACTCCCAAGGGCACCCAGTGAATAGTGACAGACTGGCTGGCTGCTAACCCATTGGACATCAGGGAAAGTTGGGGTTCACAGAAGTGAAGCTAATTGTTGCAAAAAGAAAGAGGGAGATGTGACCCGGGTCTGGCCTTCAGAAGGTTCTGTGTGTCAGAAGTTTCCCAGCCTGGTTTACGGGCCCCAGGGCACCAATCGCTGCAACCACAGCCAGGTAAAACCACAGGTCCTGACTGGTCCAAGGCAGTGCCATAGTTAGCCCTGCCTCCCATCCCCCAGCTTCCCAAGTCCTCCCAGCCTGGATCCCCTGGGAGGTGGGATCCCTAAGGACGCACTGCTGCGTTTGCCATTCAGCCATGTTGGAAAGTGTGGAGATAGGTGATGTTAAGGAGGCAGCCCCGTCTCAGGCCCCTTCCTGCAACCAAGAAGCAGCCAGAGACAGAGGCCGAGGCTGCTGGCTATGAGAACCTTTACTCCCTGCTACAAAAATGGCTCCAGCCCATGAGACTGTCCCTTCCTGACGCACAGCCATTGGTGACATGAGGGGCAATGAGATCACAGCTCTTCTGAGAGGAAAACAGGGACCCAACTGCCAGCAGGGGCCCTGCCCACTGGGCACCAGGCCCAGAGGCAGAGATCAAGGTAAGAGTAGACTGGCTGGCTCCTACATGAGCCATTTTCTACTTCACCCCTCCATCTGCCAGGTGGACATCTGCACACCCCCAGCCTCACCCTGCAGCGCAGTTCTTGGGTCTAAGGCTGGGGATCTCCCACCTGGGGCTCAGCCGCCATGGCCTTGCCTTTCACTCACACCCAGGTCAGGGCTCTTCAAGGAGCCTATATACCTCCCACATAAGTAACCTTGGGTGGCACCTTGAAAAGCACAGCAGCACCGAGGCCTGAACAGGTGGAGAAACAGAGGCACTGGAGTCTGAGGTGTTCACATCTTCTAAATATATCCGGTCTCCCCCTTTCCCCTCCCCTCCACCTCCTCGGACGCGAGTCTGCCGTCCTCTCTTACTCAGAAAAAACCTTGATAGCCTGCTTTCCTATTTCCCCCTCCGATTCTTTCTCCAACCAACACAGGGCGTTCTTAAAAACATGAATCAGAAACTCCTTCTTAAAACTCTTTGATGGGTCATTTTTCTCCTCATATCGATTCCCAGTTGCTCTAGCAATTGAAGATTTTCCTTTCCCCACTGAATTACGTTGGCACCGTTGTTGAGAATTCATTGATCATGTAAGTGTGGTCTATTTTCAGTGCTCCTCTTCTGTTCCATTGATCTCTTTATTATCCTTATGCCAATACCACACTATCTTGAATACTATAGCTTTACAGGAAGTCTTGAAGCCAGATGATGTATATCTTCCAACTTTGTTCTGTCTCAAAACTGTTTTGGCTATTCTGGGTCCTTTCACTTCCAAATTAATAGTAGAAGGCTTATCAGTTTATATAAAAAGCCCTGTTGGGATTGGGCAGTGTAATACATCTATATAGCAGCCTGGGGCAGAACGGATACATGAATAAAACTGAGTTTTTCAATCCATGACATTGGTATACCTCACCATTTATTTATATCTTTAAATTTTTTCTAGCATTAAAAAGACACTTAAGACTGTTTATTCAAAGGTATTCATTGCTATTTACACGAGCCATGGGAAAGAAACCCAAACAGTCAGGTCAATCTTTCAATGATCTTCATTTGTGGTGAATTCAATGTTTGTTTTAAATCAGAGGCGTATCTCTAAGAAGTGTTGAAATATATGCCCCTGAGTGTCACGAAACAGCTCCTTTATTTGATGTGACATCCCAGGTAAGACCCTTTTAAGGATATAGGCTGGTGCGACCCAGGGCAGAAGAGCTGGATCATTAGGTCCCTGCAGGTGACGAGGACTTCTAAATGGAGCAGGTGGGAAAGGATGTGGGCTGTTATGGGAAAGGCCTGGAGTCGGGCATCAGTGTGAACAAGGCCGCCTTTCATGCGAGAAGAGACAGGGCTTCTTAGCGTCACAGGTATGTCCAGGGCCCAGCTTTGCGATGGATATTTTATTGGACACCTTGGATGAATTGCCAGGTGGAGGCCTATTCTCGGGCAAAAAGCCCGAGTCTTCTATTTAGAGAAGAGGAATCCGGAAGAGCTGGCAGTTTGGGGCATCTTTGATGAGTAGTACAAAAGCCCCCAATTTCAACGAGCCAAAAAAATCCATCTTGGCTCAGATGTCTGAGCCATGTTTTATAGTTTTTATAGTTTCCAATGCATAGGTCTTGCCTATCTTTCATGAAATTTATTTCTAAGTATTTTAAGCTTTTTGATACTATTGTAAATGATATTTAAATTTTTATTTTCCAGTTGTTTGTTTCTAGTATATAGATATACAATTGATTTTTGTTTATTGGCGTTCTGTTCTGCAACCTTGCTAAATTTACTGAGTAATTCTAGTAGGTTTTTGTCACGTCCTGCGTGGCAAGGGCAAATGGGACAGGAGAGGGGCCACGCAGATTGAAAAGAGCACAGGAGACAAAAGTCAGATAAGAGCGAGACCAAGGGGCATCAGCCTAGAGGACCGGGCTGAGCCCCGAATCGGTCTTCGTATGGCTTTTATTGAGAAAATTTCAAAGGAAGTGAAACTGAATTACTCAAAGATCCGTATGTCGTGCCTTAAGGCTGTTTTCCATTAACCAGCTCCCACTGTATTCCAACATCTACTGTGCCTTCACACAGCCTGCACAGCCCCCAGGACAGCGCCATTCTGCCGTGTCCTATACAAATAAAGGGAGATGACTGATATCATTCCACCGGGTCTCAGCTTTCTGAGACACTTCCTCAGGACCTCGTTAGGTCAGGGGTTAGTGCTGGGGGTGGGGTGGGGGACGGGGCAGTTGTGGAGGTAGCTGTAAGGCAACAGGTTTTTGTAAATACTTTTGGATTTTCTAGGATATTTCTGACAGTTGTCTGTGAATAGAGAAAGTTTTCCTTTTCCTTTTATTATCTTTGTGGGGTTTTTTTCTTGCCTTACTGCAAAGGCAAGGGTCCCCAGTACAAAGCTGGTGAGAATGGAGATCCTTGTTTTGTTCAGGATCTTAGGGGAAATCATTCATTCAGTCTTTCACCATTAAGTATGACGTTAGTTGTAGGTTTTTCATAGATGCTTCTCATCAAGTAAAGGAGTTCATTTTTACTCTTAGTTTGTTAGAGTTTTTATCATGAACAGGGACTGAATTTTGTCAAATGCTTTTTCTACATTTATTGAGATGATCATATGATTTTCTTCTTTATTTTATAAATGCAGTGAATTACATCAATCTTCAGGTGTTGAACCAACCTTGCATTCCTGGAATAATTATATCTCAATAAAGTTGATTTTTCAAATTTTAAGAAAAAAAAATGAGATGGAGGAACTTTGAGTTAAAAGACACATAATCAATCACAATGTATAGACCTTATTTGGATCCTGATATTTTTTTAAGTGTAAAGGAAATACCATCTTTATGAGCAGTTGGAAGTTTGAACACCAATAAGATATTTGATGATAGCAAGAAATTACTGTTGATTTTTTAAGGTGTAATATGGTGTTGGAGATATATTCTGAAATATTCATGAATTAAAATTATTTCTTTTCTTTTTTTTTTTTTTTAGCTGAGCCATCCTTCCACCTGTTGGCAGCTCAGCTTGGGCCTGGACCCGAACTGCTGTTGCTCAGAGCTCACACTCTTAAGCGAGCTCTTAAGCAACTGAGCCACTCAGCCGGCCCTTAAAATGATTTCTAAAAAGACTCTGTTGGTCCCCCAACACTCTCGGGATCTAACCTGTGCTTCCTCCCCTGCTCGCACCGACTGCTCTCCAGCTGCACTTGGCCTGCTTTTAATTTCTTCAATGTGTTGAGCCCTTTCTTGCCTTAATGTCCTTGCACATCCTGTTCCTTGGGGAGGTCCCTCTGACCCCTTCCCCTCCTCTACCAGATGAGTCCCTTGTCATATCCTCTCTCTCATGCTGGCACAAGATGGTAGATGCCTGAAGTTTCCAACAATGAAGTGGAGGAACATCATGGCCTCTCCCCACTGCTATTGTCTTAGCTTGGACCACCGTCACCTCTCACCTGTGCCTCTGCAGGAGACACTTCACCTGTCTCCCTACCTGGGCTCACCACCCCCTCCAACCCACCCTCCACACTGCAGCCCGGGTGGCTTTTGGAACGGTTGGCTCTGACTTTTGCAGCCACTTGTCTGAACTGCTGCAGGGGACATTCAATGGATGAGATCTGGTTAAATCCCCCAGCAACCTACACCACTATTGCCTGTGCACCTAACTGTGGAGGAGGCCCCTCTTGTCCTCCACTTCTCCTCCGCCACTCAAGGCCTGTACACTTGCAAGTTGTGAGGGGCCTAGGTGTGTAGAGACCCCAAACACCTCGCCCTCTCATGGTTGGCGCCAGAAGCCACTTTGCCACTGGCCCAGGAACAGAGAGTGTCCTCTAGGCTGGACCCCAGGTTGCCAGTCCCCACCCAGTGGGAACACAGAGTCCAGTTGCTGGGTTCTTGGAAAAGCTGCATCACAGAGTTTAATGAGTGACCTGCAGGGCTGTTTTCTTCCCTTGATGGTTCAGAACAGCCTCGGAGGTCAGGTGGCACCAGGGGGCTGGGCGGTTGGACAGGGCCCTGGCCAATAACGACTGGCAGCTGGAAAAACAGAAATGGAAACACCTCCTGGAGCTGGCTACTCTACTGGGTGCCCAGCCCTGTGGATGTGAGTGGGGGTGGGGGCGCACCAGACTGGGAATCGCAGCCTGGATTCAAGGCCAAGCCTACAAATGGCTTGCTTGCTGCAGGACTTCAGGCAATCATTCTTTTCACCAGCCTCTGTGTCACAGCTTCAAAGGGGGAACTTAGGAGCAGGTGGGGGAGGAGGGGGGCCAGGCTGAACAGACACTCCCGAGGCTGCCTCAGGTCTTGAATCTCCACGGTCCTTCCTCTTCGTCCTGTTCCTGGCCCTCCTTCTCTTCCTCCATCCTCCTTCCTCAGTGAGTGCAGGCAGGGCAGCCCAGAGGCTAGAGTCCCTGGGCTATGGTGTCCTACAGGCCTAGGTTAAGTAATTTTCTCCTCTAGGCTGTGCGACCTTGGACAAGTGGCTCACTTTCTCTGAGCCCCCCGTTCCTTCATCTTTGAAATGAGCATACTATTAGCTTTTGCCTCTGGAACTACTGGGGCTCCAGTATTAAATAAACGAAATACACTCAGGTCCATAAAGTACCAGACATTTAACAAATGGTTGTGTTACAAAAAACACAAAGGGCCCGGGTGAGACTGAGGTGAAGAAGGCAGGAAACAGCAGGGGTGAAAGAGATATCAGCCCCTCCGCTCAGCAGGTCTCACCTCTGCAGTAGCTCAGCTGACCTTCTCCTGGGCTGCAAAGTCCCTGGCTCCATAAAAAATTAACAGCCCAGCAAAGGGCAGGGTTCATAGGTCATAACGTGAGTCCTATGGCCCCTAGGGTTGCACAAAGGGGGACGTTCAGCCCCAGGAAGGGCCTCATGGTGGGGCCCTGGAGGAATGGGTTGGAAGGCCTGGTAAGCCTCACAGCTACCTCTTCTCTCCAGCCCCAATCTCTCCACTCAGCCTGAAATTCTACCATGAGTGACGTCTATGGTTTAAACCACCTGTTTTCAGAAAGTCTGCAAGCTAAGAATAGTTTTTGTATTTGTAAATGGTTGGAAAAAATCAAAAGAAGACAATTCCACAACCTGTGAACATTATGTGAACTTTATAAGTGCCCATAAAGTTTTATTGGAACACAGCCTCGCTTGTTCTTCCATGTGCTGACACGTGGCTCTGGGGCGGCAGCGTGAGGGGAGCAGTCTCCATGGAGACTGTTCTGTGAAGCCCTAAATGGCCACTCTCTGGCCCTGTACAGAAAACGTGTGCAGACCCCTGCTTAAAAGAAACCAGCTTTGAACTCAGCCATAAGAAAAAATGGAATCTTACCATTTGTGACAACATGGACGAACCCAGGGGGCATTATACTAAGCGGAAAAAGTCAGAGAGAAAAAGACAAATACCATATGATCTCACTTATATGTGGAATCTAAAAAACTAAACAAAACAGACACAGACTCATAGATACAGAGAACAAACTGATGGTTACCAGACGGGAAGGGGTTGGGGAGGGGGGTGTGAAAAGGGGAAGGGATTAAGAAGTACAAATTGGTAGTTACAAAATAGTCATGGGGATGTGATGTAAGCTTAGGGAGTATAGTCAATAATATGGTCATAACTATGTATAGTGCCAGACCAATCAGGGGAAGCACTAGACCAATCAGGGGAAGCACTTCCTCAATTATATAAATGTCTAACCATTATGCTGTATACCTTAAACTAATATAAAGTAATATTGAATGTCAACTGTAACTGAAAAAATATAAATAATAAAAATATAAATTAAAAAATACAAAGAAACCGGCTTTGAAAGTGGAAGCGCCCTGGATTGAGTTGGGAGTTAGGAGACCCAGTCTAACCATTAACCAGTCACCTATCAGGCAAGTGACCGGGTCATGTCCGTTCTCCAAGCCTCCTTTTTTCCATCTGTAAAACGGGCACAGCGATTTCATCTCTGTTTACCACAGCATTGTTGGGACTCTCTGATTGTCGTTCACTCCCTAAGGGGGAATAACTCAGACATCTTTCCTTGTCATCACCCAGCTAAGAGAATGGGAATGCTACGGGGGAGGTGACAGTGTCACACTGAGCAGGGAAGCAGGGAGAAAGTATCCTTCCTCTCCAAAACCACGTGCAAAAGAAACAGCCTCTTCCTGCTAGAGGCTGTGTCCAGGGGCACAGTCGCTGGGCGGTCCAGGGTGGTCAGTCTCTGAGGCAGGGGCTGCAGCCAGCCCAGGAGGACAGGGACAGGAGTGGGGGGAGAAGCAGCGCTGGGCCTCTGCTGAGTCCCGAGACTCAGACCCCGTCCCAACACCCTGGAGACACGCCAGGACACACGTGGATGTTCTCATCTTGTCCCTCCCCAGCTCACTTCTGTCAAAAAGTCAAAGTTCTCACAAGAGCTGCCCCAATCCCCTTACTGCCCTGATCCCACCTTTCTCTTCCTCCCCCCACACCCTCACATCTCCAGCCTCGCCCCCCCTACCCCCCACAAGCACCCTCTTACCAGAGGGCCCTGATATTTGCTGTTTCCTCTGCCGGGAACTCTCTGCCCCAATGTCTGCATGGCTTTCTCCCTCACTTTCTTGAGTCTCTGCTGAAATACTGCTTTCTCATGAGGCCCACAGTGACTGGTGTATTAAAAATCAGCCCCAATAATATTGTGATAGCGTGGTATGGTTTCAGACGGTTGCTGGACTTATCATGGTGATCACTTCTTATCATAGGGAAGACAATCAATAATGTCATAATTGTATAGTGCCAGGTGGGTACTGTTGAATAACTATGATGTACACCTGAAACTTATATACTATTGCATGTTAGCTATATTTTAATAAAAATCTTTTTTTAAAAAGGCCTCTAAGCCCCACTCCCCACCTTCCCAACGTGATTTTTCTCCCTTGAACCCCTAACTGCTGGGTACACGTTTTACTCTTCCTTTCCTTTCTGCTTCTAACCCTTTGCCACGAGAATGTGAGGTCATGAGCACAGGATTTTATGTTCACTGCCTGGCACATAAGTAGGACCTAAAAAACGTTTGGGGGATGAGTAAATGACTGAATTTAATTAATTCATTAAAAGTAATTAAGAATTATTCTTAATTAAGAATTACCTTTGCTACCATGTGTTGCTATTGATGTAATGTGTTTCATTCTCATTTAATTCTCCCCACGGCTCTAAGGGGGGGTTGCTATTGTCATATTCATATTTTTGGATGAAGAAATTGAGCTCAGAGAAGTACCTGGGCCACTCTACTCATACGAAGCCACACTGCTGGTCCCCTACTCCAGCGCTCCTGGACCAGACTGTGGTGATGTCCCAGCCACAGCCCCTCCTTACAAAAGCAAAGAATTGGACGGAGAAATCGAGTTGGTTAAAAGAAACGTTTTTATGGTATACATATACACACCGGGTCCACGATGATAATGCAGGTGTGGCAGGTGGCAGCTCCTGCTGTCCCCACAGGGTCTGCCCCTCCCCTTGGGTGTCCTGGGACTCTGTGTCCCAGCCCAGGTCCCTCTGGGGCTTGGGGTAAGCCTGGAGGGGCTGGTCAGACATGCGGGGTTCTTCCCAGACCTGCCTGCTGGCTTTGCCACCTATGGGCAGCCTTTGTCCCCTGCCGCCAGGGAATAGGGGGAGTAGGGAGAGCACTGTCCTGGGGTCAAGGCTGCAAGCAGGGTCGTGTTTGCTTAAGTCGGATGACGCACGGAGGCGGGAGAAGATGACGTCCCTTGCCACAGCAGGTGGCGTAAGCAAGCACAACCCTGTCCTACCAGCACCTGGCCTGGGCGGTGAAGGGTTAGCTCGGCTCCTTCCTGACCCCCATCCCCCCGCCCCCCCCCACACCCACACCTCAGGTCGCTGTCCCAAAAGCTGCTGCCAATGACCTTGCCTCTCAATAGGGGTAGGGGGACACGGCGATGAGCAGGACGAAGACACTTTGGTGGCGCGGCGCCATGGCGCGCACGGTGAGCCGATGGAGGCCGGCGCGGGTAAGCGCGCGGCGGGTATAGACTGCGCCTTGGCCCGTGCGCAGCGGGCGCAGAGCGAACGGGCTGAGTGGGTCAGGCTCCAGCACGCTGAGTTTGGTGTGGTTGGCGGGTACGCCGGCCTCGGAGAAGGCGGCCAGGCGGGCCACATCGTGGTGGGCGCGCACGCCCAGGGGCAGCGGCAGCAGCTTGTACTGCAGCGTGGAGGGACCACCGGCGCTGCAGTCCTGCGAACAACGCCGGAAGCACATCCTGCAGGAGGGACCGACGCACGGACTCGGGTTGCCAGCCGGCGCTGCCGACCTGGGAGAAACCTGACCTCACCCCTAACCCCTGCAGTTCTCCCACCCGCCTCTGTCCCCCAGCACCCCAACTGCCTTCTCTACAAGTGCCACTGTTAGTCCATGTTAGAGATCAGCAAAGGCGGCCCAAATAAGCCAGAGGCACGCCCTTTCCCAGCGGGGCAGATCCCCATAGCGACCGTTCCCAGCCCATCCCCCAGGGCAGCGCAGCACGCACAGGGCAGCATAAAATTTGGTGCCCCCAGAGCCTCAGAGCTGAGTCACCTGCTCTGGATTTGCGCGCATGCGGGGGTGGGGGGCGGCAGGAGGCGGACTCAAAGACACATGCTCAGTCTTGCAAGGGCACCCCACCACGAAGCCTAGGGCCCAGGGCAAGTCACACCCTCCCCCCATACTTTCCCTAACCGCTGCAGGCGTAGAGCCTGTCCACCAAGGTCCCCAGTCTGTTCATCTTTATAAGTGTCTGTAGCCACTGCGAGTGGTGTGGTGCAAATGTGTCTTGTGTTTGTGTGTCTGAATCCTGGGGTCCTGTGTGTGTTTCTGGGTGGCATTTATGTGTCTGTGTGTGTTCCTGTGTCCCCCTATGTGTACATCTTCCAGCAACCCCGGTCCCCCTCAATCCTCTCCCAGATCTGGCCTTTCAAGGCCCCCAGTGCTCCATGCTCGTGCTGACACATCACCATGCAGGAAGCGATGGTGCCCAGGCAAGCTTGCACCCAAGTGGCTGCAGGCACACTGCCCTGTGGGCACAGAGGCTCTGCCCTGGAGTCCAGGCAGCGTGGACCCCACAGGTCTTAGGAGGGCCTCTGCCTGACACATGGACTGGAGGAGGAGTCCAGACATCCAGGAGCCAGAGTGTAAACTGCCAGCTCCCCAAGATAACATGCTCCCCCCCCCAACCCAGCCCTTACCCTGGGCTGGAGCCCTGCCGGTAGGTGGCAGGACATGGTGTGTCCACACACTGGTAGCTGCCTCGGGTGTTAAAGCACATCTGGCCAGGCCCACACTCGATGCCATCCTCCTCACACTCATTGATGTCTGCAAGGGCAAGGTTGGCGAAGAGAAGGGTGGATGAGAAGATGGCGCGCAGGGGAAGGGCCGAAGGCAGGAGCCACAGAAGGCATGGCGGAGGGGTTACGTGGGAGAGAAATGCCTTCTGGGGATCAGCCAGGTGGGCGGCCCCTCTCCCCTTGTCCCCGGCCAGCCTGACCCCATGGCAGCCCAGCCGGCAGGCCCCTCACACCCCCCCCCTCCCCAGGGCATGGTGTTGGGCCCCCTAGAGATCTCTGTGCCTAGAGCTGGGTTGGAGAGCCTGGGAGAGAGGAGGGCTGCCTTTGGACCCAGAATGTCCATTGCTCGTGGGCGAAATGCCCTGATCCTTGTCTGCCCACTCGTCTCAGAGGACATTCACTGACCCCCATGACGGAGAGCGAGGGATGGAGACAGGCAAGGCAGGCAGGCTTCCCACCGTCCAGCAGGGGAAGCCGCACGGCCTGCCCAGCCCTGGAGCACGTTGGGGAAAGTGTGCTGATGCGCGAGTTAGAGGACTTCACTACCACCGCCCTGCTGCGAGCGCTGGCTCTGTGCCCACCCTCCACATGTTTCATCCAGCAGTTCAGGGTAGTACTGTGTTAACTGCATTTCACCAGGAGGCTGAGGCTCAGAGAGGTGAAGTAAGTTGCCCAGGGACACACAGCAGAGCTACGATCAACCCCTAGAGCTGCTTTCACAGACTGCCCACGCAATCTCTTAGCTCCTGCTTGGAATGGGCCCAGCCTGGCTGTGGGCCCGTGGGGTGGTCACTTAACCCCTCTGAGGTTGTCTTCCTGCCCCTCCCTCACATGAGATGGTGGAGAAGGGGCTGGTGCGAGTGGATTGGGTGAGGGACACCCCTGCCCACAAAGCCCGGCCCTGGCCCCTCCAGTGTTGAGCAGCTCACCCTGGCAGTTCTTTCCACTGGGGAGGAGGCGGTAGCCGGTGGGGCAGAGACACCGGTAGCTGCCCTCGGTGTTTTGGCAGGCATGCTGGCACAGGCTCCTCACCCGGCACTCGTCCAGGTCTGGCCCAGCCATTAGCGGGGGAGGGAGTGATGGAGGCAGAGATACACGCTGAGTCACAGATGCCCAGGTGGCCACGTGCCTGCCCGCCGGGCTCGGGGCAGGCCAAGGATGTCCCTGACTTGGGGGAGCCACCCCTTCTTCCTGCCCTGCCCCACCCAACCCTGGATTTGGTGGTTAAGAGAGTCCCAGGGCCTGGTGAGAGTAGGGAACTCCGCCCTGCCCACTTCACATTTACCAAGGCCCTGGAGGGAGACACCGTTCCCAGTACAGAGCCCTTCGTCCAGGTGGGACGCGGAAGCTGTCGCCCCTTCACCTCTCTGCAGCCAGGGGGCTGAACACAGGCCCCGGATCCCGTCCCTGACCCATCAGCCCATCCCCACCCGTCTCCATTCAGTCTCATGCCGACCTGTAACATCCTCCCTCCCTCCTGCTTCACCTCTGGGCAGTGTCCTGACAGTAAATGGTCAAAACAAAACACTCCATCCCCCTCTTGGAAGCCCCTTGCCCATTAGCACAGCAAGGGCTCCAAACACCAGGTATCCAGGAAGCAGCCCCCACCCCGCCCGCGAGACCTGGGTTTCTGAACACCGGGCACGGTGCTCACATGCCCAGCCCAGGAGCCCAAGACAACATAGTGGGATGTGTCCCCAGTGGGGTGGTGGGGACTCAGCCTTACCCGCGCAGACGCCATTCTGTCGGATGAAGCCAGCGGGGCACCAGGCCCGGCCCATGCTGCTCGGGGTTCTGGGGCCCGGTCGGAGGGAGACCCAGGCTTGGTAGGAACCACTGGGGATGGGGAAGTGGGGCCGCAGCCAAGGCACCAAGGACCCCCGGTGGCTGACGGTGGTCACATTTTGTCCTCTCTGCTCCAGTGGGGTGCAGGCCTTCCCATCCTGGAGGAGGGTGTGGCCCGGTGGGCACAGACAGCGGTAGCTGCCCTGGAGGTTGTGGCACTGGTAGGCGCAGGGCCTGGGCAGCTGCAGGCACTCGTTGATATCTGGAAGGAGCCGGGGCCAGGCAGGGTGCCGAGGAAAGCTCAGGGTTTGCTGCAGCCGGCCGGCCGGCCCCAGAATACAGCTGCCTCACCTGCTGCACGCAGGCCTGCCTCCCAGCCTTCCCTCTCCTGGAACACCCCCAGCCTCCTCTCCCTCTCCAGCCTCTATTGCTCCAAGAGGCCTCAACGCCCCCCAGCTCTGAGCCTCATCCCAGACCCCAACTGTTCCCCACCCCACCCCCCTTCAGGGTACTGGTGAGACCCACCGGCTCCTCTCCACCCTCCTCCTCTTGGGCTCCTTGGGAAGGTGACTTTGCAGGGTAGGGGTGAGGTTTACAGCAGGCAGAGCATGGCTCCAGGCCCACGGTGAGCGCACAGTCAGCACTGGCTGCCGTTTGGTTATTCACAGAATATGACCCTTGTCATAACACTCCCTGCCCCTGAGCCAGGGGTGCTGAACAGGGTCCCAACCAGGGGGAGGGTGTCCCCATACCTAGGCAGGGCAGGCCGGGGCCCTGGCTCCAGTACCCCCTGGGGCAGCTGCAGCGGTGCCCGCCAGGGGTGTTCTCACAGATCTGGTTGTAGTGACATTCATCCAACTGCTCCAGACACTCATCCACATCTGGGGAGGCAGGGGCAGGGGCGGGGCTGAGCTCAGAGCCCTGTCTTCCCCGCAAGGGACTAACCGGAGCCTCTCCACCTGTGGGCCTCATGCCACCAGGTGGAATGCCAATGTTTGCAACCATCCCTCCCGAGTCTACCAGCTTTGAGGGTAAAAAGGTTCTGGGTCCAAAAGAAGGAAGGGGCTTTGCAGGCAGAGGCCCGGGTTTGGACGGAGCTCAGCCACCTCTCTTGGTCCTTGAGCAAGTAACTCTCTCGCTCTGAGCCTCAGTTTCCTCATCTGTAAAGAGGGGTCAGGATGGGACCTTTTCATGGGGTTATGGTGAGAAGATTGGATCACTCATGTGGAGGGCTTAGGAGCCTGGTACATGGAAAAGTTAAAAAACAAATGAAGATGGAAGGAAGGACAGAAGGAAGGCAGGAGGCGGGAGGGCCCTATAAATAGTCGGGTATGCTGAGGGCCCTGCTGCTGCCACTCAAGTGGAATGACTGCCTGTTCTGAGCTCAAGTGCCACCATGCGTTTCCCCACTCCATGGATGGCCTCTCTTGGAGGAGCCGGAAGACGCACGATCGTGAAACCATAGAATGCTGGAGCAGAAAGGACCCTAGAGGTCACCCATCCAGGGGTGGCACCTAGGTTTCATCTCAAAGGTCAATTGCAGCTGATTCATAACGGTTGCTGGAGAAGCTGTGTTGAGAAGGATTCAGAGGCTGTCTCTAGGCTGGGCCATGACCCAAGTGGGGAAACGAGAGAAGTGGCAGCAGATGTAGCATATGGTTGCCTTGTCCTGGTCCCTGACCTGGTCCCCCTTCATCAGACAGATGACAAGCCTGAGGCCCAGAAAGGAGACCCTTGTCAGAGGTACTCCAGTTGCCAGCAGCCAGGCCACGTCAGCACTCGGACCTCTCGAGCCCAGCTCAGGCTCTCTCCCTGACCTCGCTGTACTCCTTCTGTCCAGAGAGTGCCAGTTTCCCCGAAGGCCTAGCTTCCCAGGGACACACAGCACCCCTTCTGCTGAATCCTGGCAACTGTTGGGTTCCCAGGAGTCTGGACAACCCCACACTGTGCCCCTGTCACCTTCACAACCAGCCCTATCAGCGGCCATTTGGAAGCCAGGCCCACAGTCAGGGAGGCAGCAATAAAACCCAAGCAGGTTCACGCGGTGCTGTCCCACTGGACAAAGGCCAGTATCCTTGGCACACTCGTCCACATCTGGGGACGATAGAGACAGGAGCTACATGTCCCTCAGTCCCTCTCACCACCTGACTCTGGCCCAGCCTCCCTACACAGGCTTTGTCCCCAGGTCCCACCCCGCCTGCTAGCTCTGTCCATATCTTGGCACCCCCAGAAACACAGAGCCCACCCCAAGGGACCCGAGGGTGGCATCTAATATGAGGTTGCAGACAAAGTCCCATGGGCTCCCAACAGAGACGTGGCAGCACCAGGTCCCACTGGTGGTAGTGGAGGGACGCTGACGGGGAGGGGCAGTCGGTGTCTGGACAGAGTCCCAGGGTCAGGTTTGTTGTCTAGCAACTTCACTGGGGGGACGTGTAGAACGGCGGGGCAGATGGGCATCAGCTTACTTACAACCCCAGTTGACTAGAGATGACCGCTGAGTGCAGGGAAAGTTGAGGCTGTGCCCAGGCTCAGCGGGTACGAGTGCCACGAGCACATGGTGGTACGCGTATGTCTTTGGGGATCCCCATCACGCCTCAGTGCTTGGCCTTTCCCATCTGTGGCCCTCATAATGGGAAGTTCCCAGTGCAAACAGGGCATTGGAACCCTCAAGCTGGCACCCAGTGCCCTCAGGAACAGGCCATTCTCTGAGTGTATGCCCCCCCCCCTCCAGGGTCCTGCACACACCAAGCCAGGTCCAAGGCGAGCCTCTCCACTGGGGCCTACTCACCTCTGCAGTTTCTGTCGTCCCCGGCCAGGGTGAAGCCAGCTGGACAGGAGCAGGTGAAGCGTCCAGGTGCGTTGTGGCAGGTGTGGGAGCAGGGGCTGGGGCCGCCCGAGCACTCGTCCCTGTCTGGGGGGCGGGGAGAGCTGGGGGTCTGCACGCACAGGCCCTCCTGCCAGCTGGCCTGACAGCTCATCCATCCCAGGCTGAGAGGCCTCCCTTGTCTATGCCAGGGTGGGGAGAGGGTGCTCACCCACACAAAACTCTCCTTGGGTGTCCAGCTTGAAGCCTTCTGGGCAGCCGACTTCATTCTCTTCTGCAAGGCAAAGAAAACAGTTCCTAGGGACAGAAGACGCTGGGGACCACGAGCAGCCCTGGCCATCGCCCGGGTTCATCGCTCCCTCCCGCCAGCTTGGCCAGGCTGAGGTCCCCTCCACCGGGTGCTCAGCCCCTGTCCTGAGCATGGCTGGTGCCCAGTGAGTCAGTGAGTCCATTCCCACCCAGCCCAGTCTGTCGGAGACACTGGCTGTGGGTCACGCCATGAGGGGCTCCTGGTGGGCTGGCCAGACCATGGCTGGTAGACACAGGAGAAATCATTAGGGACAAGTAGAAAGTGGGGGGCCCACGTGTGCAAGACTGTGCTCTGAGGATCCAGAGATGTAGACATGGCCACCGGCCGTGGGTTAAGTGAGGGCATCTGACGGGGGCAGCACGCCTGAGGCAGGGTGGGAGCACACTGTGTTCTGGGGACAGGAAGGTGGTCAGACTGCCTGAATTATCGTAAGGGTAGCACCCTTAATAAAGCAGTCACTGGGTGCCCCGTGAGGGTTTCAAAGACAGCACCCCTACTCATGACACCCTGCAAGGCAGGCCATGTCCTGCCCATTTCAGATGGGCACACGGAGGCCCAGGGAGGGCCAGGGCTTTGTCCCAAGGTCTCACAGCCGGGAAGTGGGGCGGCTGGGTTTGAACCAGGGTCTGCCTGGCCTCAAAGCTGTGCTCTTACCACTATCCCATGTTCAAGGCTAAAAACATGTTGGGACCTCAAATAATGGTAACAGGCATATTTTTAGCATCCATTGGTTGAGAATATATGGCATGTTCATGTGGGTCTCCCGGGGTTCCAAGAGTGGCTGCCACCCCCCCGCTAGGTGGGGGGTATGGTGCAGGCAACCCTGGGAAGAGGGTGGGGTATGACTCGTCTTGAACATCCGCCTGGGGGACAGGGGTTGAACCTTCCCGTTGGGGACTTCGGGGAAAGCTCTGGAGGGTTTGAACAGGAGTGGCCCGAGGAGCCATGTCCCATTTGGGGTGTGGATGGATGGACGGGAGCAGGGAGGTGAGCTGTCTCAGTCCCGAGTCTCTGGTCCATGATCAGTGGATGCAGGGATGGCTGTCACCTGGGCTTTCAGCTGGGACAGTGTGGGGTGGAGACAGGACGGGGCCCTTACCGGCTTGCAGGGCTGTGGTGAGCTGAAAGCGCAGGGCCTCAGCCTCGGGGTCGAAGGCCGAGCTGACAGCAGAGGCCCGCAGGTGCTGCACCAGCTGGGGCTGGGGTCCCCGGGCCGCGTCGTACTGGATGCTGTGGTTGCAGTGCAGAAACACCGGGAGGCTGTCTTGCAGGAAGCGCTGCGTGGAGCCCACAAAGAGCCGGCCAGGCCCCGTCTGCACGTAGTGCTCCCGGAAATCCTACAGGAAGAGGAGGAGGAGGAGGCGAGAGCATCTGGGATGTCAACTTCCAAGTGGCCTGGGACTTGGGACCCTCAGCTCCCGCTGGGGGGTGCTGGCGGATGCTGAGGGAGACCCGCTGGGCCTCTCAGCTCTTCCTCCGACCAGCTGGGCAGCCTTGGGCGGGTCACTGCCCTCTGACATTCTCATTTATGGAATGGGGAGAACACCTGTCCCCAAGAGGCTGGGCCCCGAGGATTTCCCAGTAGCTCTCCCCTAAGTCCAAGGACAGGCCATGCCCCAGCCCCTGCTGGGGTGTCAGGAAGGAAAGTGGGCCTGGCTCCTGAGGGATCGTTGTAGGCAGGATGTCCCACTGTCTGTCACCCCAGGGCTCACCCCACACCTGCACTTGAAGATCTGCGTCAGCTAGGCTCTCGGGGACGACGCCATTGACCACCACATCGAGGAGCAGGAGGCCGTTGGGATCCAGGCCCCGGGCCACCTGGGTCATCGTGAGCAGCTCCCCTGCAATCCATCCCCGTCCAGCCTGGAGTTATCACCAGGGAGAGGCCCTGGGCTCAGGCCCCAGCCCCACCTGGCCCACCTGGGAGGAGACCCCACTCACCTGTGGCAAACTCCATGTGCGACTCCTGCCGGAAGTTGCCACTCGTCAGTGAGTAGCCGTTCAAGGCGTTTCCACTCTCTCCAGCGAGCGCCCAGTAGATTGGGGCGATGGTGACCACCAGCGCCCGCATCAGGGGCCCTGGAGGGGGCGGGGCACAGAGACCAGGTTAGGGCCGGATGCTGAGGCAGCCACTCTCTGCTTAAGTTCCTTCGGTGAGTCCTTATTCCCCCCAGGAGAGCTCAGCCCTTTCCCCCCCACCTCAGTGCCCAGATTACCTGGACCGGTTATTCAATCAGAGCCTGGGAAGGGGTAAAGGCCAGTATCTACTTCTTGGAGGAGTTGTGAAAACAGCAAAATATATTTATACAAAGAACTGCATGTAACTTGTTGATCGTTAACTCAATTCCACAAATACTGAGGGCTACTGGGCCGTTACAGAGCCTGGGACTGCAAAGACTGTCACTACATGTATGCAGGACCGCGTTGAAAATTGACCAAGTCTCCTGCCTTGCAGACCCCTTCCAGGAGAGCCTGGGAGAGGGAGGATTGCTCTGAACGACAGACTTTGGAAAAAAGAGCCTCAAATCGCCTTGGACATGGATTTTCAGAATGTCACATGATGCCCAGCCCTCCTCCTGGGGTGTGTGGGGCATCGGACTGAGGTTCAGGGGAGCCAGAACCTTCTCAACCTCTCTGCACCTCTGTTTCCACTAGACACAGCCTGGCCCACGTGGCTTGGGGCCAGACGTTTCTCCACGGCTTCGGCTCCTGCAGCCGGAAGAGGCGGCCACGTCTGGGCATTCATTCACTCTCTGCTGACAGTCAGCTCCGAGTGACCACCCCCACCCCCAGCCAAAGACCCCACATCGTTCACACAGGTTTGTGGTCAAGGGCAGCCTTGGGGGAGCGGCTTTTAGGAAAGACCCTGTCAGCACTGCCCTCTCCCTGCTCTGGACCCCCACAAGGGGAAGCAGTGTGCCCTGGGAAGGGCGAGGCAGCAGGGTCTATCACGGCAGGGTCTGCAACCACCCTCCAGAACATTCCATTTGCTTAGGACAGGCTAGTTTGCGAATCTGTCTGCAAGTGGACATTTTTCTTGGTTCTCTGGGCCTTCCAGCTGGTTGTACTCTCTCTGTCTCTCCCTTCCTGTCTGTCCCCTCCTGCCCACATCCCTTAATCGTTACTGGTGATGTCTTCACTTTTCTAATGGTGGGACAAACACCTCATGCAGCAGTCGGTGCTTTCAAGTTCATGACCCGACCTGCGTTCACACAGCCTGATCATTCCACACGCTCTTGGTCTGATTTTAAATGCAGTCATTTTGCTTTGTGTGTGTGTATGTGGAGGGATGTGGGGTGGGGAGGAAGTGGCCCATACCCTAATCTACTTTGGCTTGGGCTCTGCTCTTAGAGGTGGTCAGATTTCCTCTGCGAATCAGGCAAGCCTGGGAACATAGGTTGTCTCCTCCTGGCTCTAGCATGGCTCGGAGGGTCCCCAGAGGCAACAGACTCTGGTCCCCACTTACCCACACTCGCAGGGATGTGGCTGATACTGCTTCTGATGGTGGTGACCCCAGAACGAGCCTCCTGTTGCACACTGGTGTTGAGGGTGGCCGTGCCAAATTCCTGGCCGTTGATCACCCCGATCACGCTACCCCGGCCCCCCCGGGGCTCCTCTGGGGGGGGAAGGAAGAGAACAACAGTGATACTATCCCCCTGCATGCCCTCAGTATAAGCAGGTACTGTCACCCATTTCACAAAGGAGTTATCTGAGGCTCAGAGAGGCAAAGTGACTGGTCCAAGGGCACACAGCTAATGGGTGATGGCACCAGCTTCTAATTCTGGCCCTGCCATCGCCTTCTTGGAAACTTGGGCGAGTCAGGCCCCCGAGCCACACTTGAGTTGGCTTATCTACAAAATGAAGAGGTGGGGTCACAGATGCGCCCAAAACCTGTCGGATTCTAAGACACCAGGAGCCCGTGATGGCGGGGGCCGCTGGAGGAGCCAGGATTGAGGGGCAGGCACCAAGCCAGGAACTGAATGCCGCCACCTGAACGTCCCCCGTTCCAGCAGTGGCCCTGGCTCCAGCTGCCCTGAAGCTGGCCTAGCTGGGGTGGGCTGGATTTCTAGGAGCCGCCAGGCAGTCTGCAAGCAGATCCTCTTCGGCACTAATCAAATGGAGGGTGTGGGCACAGGGGGGTGCTTCCTCTTGCTAATGGGCCAGCTGTCTCATTTGGACAGATGGCATTCCAGGGGGCAGAGACAGAAGCTAGCCTGCCCCTCCGCTCACCGGCTCTCGGGGGAAATTAGCAACAAATTGCCCAGGATCTGTCGAAAAAAATAACATAGAACACTGTACTGCCAGGATCTTAAATGGGTAAATCAGGGGGCTGGTTAATTTTGGATTCCAGGAAGCAATGCCATTTCCTGAAGCCCATAGCTGGGCTGTGATGAGATTTGATGCCCATCTGGGATATCTCTTGTCAATATCCGATGCTCTGGGTTTATGGCAGGGACAGGAAAAGGCCACTGAACCTACCCCTGGCTTTGTAATAAGGGGATGAGGAAGGAATTGCAGCTGCAGATAAGAAGGCAGCAGCATGGCCCCTGGCAACTTTAGAAGGAGACAGAACATTGGAGGCCAGCGATGACAAGCCACTGTTGACTTTCTCAGACATGGGGTGACCTTGTCTCCCACAAGGTCAGGATGCCCCACTGCCAAGGCTGAAGGTAAAGGAGGGAGAGAGATAAATCCATCAGGCCTCAAAACCTTTATACACCTTTTACCCGGCAATACACCTGGAAGGAATTCATCCTATAGAAATATTCAGGCCAGCACACAAAGATATGCACCACAGTGTGGTTTTGGAGGGGAAACTGGAAAAAAAAAACCTGTTGCATATTTAACAAAGTCAACAACAATTAAGTTGAAAAAATGTTCCTATGGAGTGATGTGAAACCATCAAAGAAGTATGGACTAGCCTAACTATCATGGAACGTTGTCTGAGACAGAGTAAGCAAAAATGACACATTGTAAAGACAACCTATAAACTCGATCTCATTTCTAAAAAGTGTATCCCTTTACACTCAAAGAAAAAAAAGTGTAGAAAGACGTGCTGCAAATCATAAATTGCCAAAGCTATTTCTGGGTGAATTATGGGAAATAATTGATAATTACTTTTTCTTCATAGATTTTTCTAAATTATCTGGCCTTTCTACAATTAACATATATGAAGTAAAAAATAAGGGCCGGCTGAGTGGCTCAGTTGGTTAAGCGCTCACTCAAGAGTGTGAACTCTGAGCAACAGCAGCTCGAGTCCTGCCTCAGCTGAGCTGCCAACAGGTGACAGGATGGTTCAGCCAAAAAAAAAAAAATTGTGTATGAAGTAAAATTGTTTCCATTTATAAAGGAGGCTGACTGACAGGGGTTGACTTGTGTTCCCCTAAAAATATATGCTGAAGTCCCAATCCTTTGACCTCAGAATGTGACCTTATTTGAAGACTGGGTCTGTACAGAGGTGACCAAGTTAACATGAAGTCAGTAGGGTGAGCCCTATGCTAATATGACTGGTGTCCTAAAAAAGGGGGAAAGAGATAGTATGTGGTCAAAACATAAATAAATAAACAAACAAACAAATAAATAAATGGGGGAAGTTTGGACACACACATGCACTCAGGGAGAACGCCACGTGACCATGAAGGCAGAGATGAATGATGGTTCTGTAAGCCAAGGAACATCAAACAGCAAACCACCAGAAGCTAGGGGAGAAGCATGGAATAGATTCTCTATCGCAGACCTCAGATGGAACCGACCCTGCCGACACCTGGATCTTAGACTTCCAGCCTCCAGAACTGTGAGACAATACGTTTCTGTTGTTTAAGCCACCCAGTCTGTGGTACTTGTTATGGCGGCCACAGAAAATGAACACAGCGGCTGTGTTCAGAGCTCTGTGGTTTGGGTTGGGGGCTTTTCAATAGGAGAGGGTGAGAATTGGGGCCAAGCTCTGAACTGAAGGGAGGGTCTGCTCAGACCTGCTCCAGAGGCAGCCTCTGTGTCAGAACCACTGAATTTTCAGAGCTGCATATATGTGTTGATGTTCTAGCCCCGCTTACAGGATAGGAGGAGACCAGGGGCCAGAAAGGGTCCCACAGTTGGTTGCCAGTGGGTTTCAAATAGCAGAGTATCAAGTCCCAGTTCCAATTAGTCCTGAGGTGCTGCCTGGAAAAAGGTTCTACGGAGAAGGCATCTGATGTTGTGTGCGGTGGTAGGATTAGTGATGTCTGCCATGGACAGGGCCGGAGGCACAAAGCCACAAATGTGGAGCATTTACTTCAGAGAGGCACAGAAATAATATTCAGTGACTTTCTGTTAGTCAGTGTGAGTCACTTTACTGTGGTTTCTCAGGATAATCTTTTTCTCAACTTTAATGTTTGGTCTGACCCAAGGGAGAAGGGAACTGATTGAGGAGATCCAAGATGACAGGGGTTAGTGCCAGTCATCAGCACTGGTTACTAAGCACCCATCATAGCCAGGCAAAGCGCAGGACAAGCACTAAGTCACAGACTTTTCAGAGCAACCCCATGGAGACCTCTGTTTTATTCTGCCTACTTCACAGGGCTGTGGGGTGTCCAAAGGGGGGACACATATCTGTGCCAGGTCAGCTGGAAGAGCCAGGGTCCCCTGTCCAACATGAGCTGCAAACACTTAGCCTCTCAGTCTCAGCTTCCATAATGGTGCAGGGCAGGGTCAATAAGTGACCCATAAGGCCCTTCCAGCTCATTCATTCGAAGTTCGTGACTTGACGTAAAGAGAAGAGTCAGGGCGCTGGCAGGGCAGTGGGCCAGGCCCCACACACACAACATACAAATCCCCATTTTGCAAGAGATCCCACCTCTGTCCAGAAAGCTCTGGGCAGGGATGCCCCGTACCTCTCACAGCCAGGAACGCTCGGGCTGTGGCCGAGCCCAGGAGGTTGTGAGCGACACACTCATATGTGCCTGCGTCCCTAGTGTCCACTCGCTCCAGCCACAGGCTCCCATCTGGCAGGGTCTGGAGCCGCTGGCTGGCCTGCAAGGGCTGGCCCGCACGCAGCCACTCCACTGTGGGCACCGGCTGTCCGGTGGCCTGGCACCGCAGGGACACATCATCCCCGGATCTCACTATCACATCCTGGGGCTTCAGCTGGAACATGGGGGCACCTGTGGGAGAACCCAGGGCAGTTTTTAGGAACATTTTATTATTTTTGTATATTCAAATGTACATATTCATTTAGACAGACTACAAAATACAGAGGCAGTAAGATGTGTGTGTGTGTGTTCACCAACAGACATGCACAAAAATGTCACTGCGTACCTGCCCTTAACTGGAGACTAGCCTACAGTGGAATACATAAATAAATTTTGGTATAATCCACATAGTGGAAAAGCATTCAGCAACGCGCATGTATAAATAAATTCCACGTACAATCTCCCAAACAATGACGTGCACAAGGAGCCTGACACAGAGTACATATGACAGGATTCCATTTAAGTCGAAGTCAAAGATGACTTCGGCCATGCTGAGCGCGTGAGGTCAGCAAGTCGGCTCCCCCCCAAAAACAAGCACAAAACTTGACAACATCGTCAAAAACAACGGTTTCAGGGCTCTAGAAATCAACTAAAGGCAAACAAATTGAGAACCATTTATCCATGAAAACCTCTGGAACTTTGGGTAAGTATGGGGCCTTCCCGCCTGGGCTGCTCCCCGCTCCCACCCCACCCCACCTTGGTCATCACAGCAGTTTTCTCAGGGCAGTGCTGGCTGTGAAAACCAGCAGGTTTGCTATCACAAGGGGACCATTTGATTTGCAGTGGCGGATGGACGTGAACTCTGAGAAACCAGGGTGTTGCCAGGAAAAGGAACAGGACCAGTTGGAAGCACATGGGGACCTGGCACCTCTGTTGGCCTGAGGCGGTGGCCCTGGCTGAGACCAGGGCGCCTGCCAGAAATTGAATGAGAGCCTGAAATGAGGGCGCTGTGGACGACTTAAAAATTGCCTGAACTTTTTTTTTTTTTAACATCGATCATACCTCAAAAAAGTGGTTTGAAAAGCAAATCTTAATAAATATCAAAAGTTTGAAAACAATAATAATAGGTGGCATTTATGGATTACTTACTAAGAGTCAGGCACTGTGCTAAGCATTTAAGCCTCATGACTATTTATGATGCCTGTTCTATGACTGGGCCTATGTTAAAGATAAGAAAACTTAAGTACTACAGAGAAATTGAATGATTTGCCTAGGGTCACAGAGCAGATGGCCGAGCCAATAACAATCCCAGACGGACTGAGCCCGGAACCTGCCCTCTTACCCACAAGGAATGACACAAGTGTGGCTCATTGCTGCCTCAGGGCTTTTGCACTTGCTATTCTTCCTGCTTCAAACACATTCGCCCATATTGTCACATGGATGCCTCCTTCTCATCGGTCAGACCTCAACTTAAATGTCAACCCATCAGCAAGGCCTTTCAGGATCACCCCCCAAAACCGCCTGAACTTTGAATTACTCCACAGCCACACTCAGATGCATGGATGGAGCCTCGTTTTCTTGGTCTTTAATTTTCGGCGAGTTTCATTGTGATGTGCAGACTGCCTTGAGTTTATCTCAGCTGTTTGAGTTTTGCTCAGCTTCTTGGGTTTGCAGGTGTTTGTCTTTTGTGAAAGTTTGGGCTACTTGGAGGCTCAGATAGTGCTTTGTAAACTACAAACTGCTCGGCAAATCCAAGAGCTGTTACTATGATCCCAACCGTAGGTTTGAGGTTTGAATACATGATCCCCCCCAGGCCTGGCTGTTGGCTCCCTGGTGGTCATAAGCCCGAGCTGACTCCCCATCCGCCCTGGGGAACACATTCCACAGGGCTTCAATTCTGTGTTCTGAATATGTGTTTGCAAAAGGATTCCAAGTCCCACCCAGCCCTGCCACTGCCTCACACAACTCTCCCCTAAGCGCCCACTTCACACTGTCCCCATGCAGGGCTCAGGAGAGGGGAGGGTGACTCACTCTGTAGCACGAGGACCAGCACTTTCTCCACTGTGCCTATCTCATTCTCTGCCAGGCAATGGTACTGTCCCGCATCATCCATCTGCAGGTGGGCATGGGAGGGGGACACAAGGTTCAGGACAGGAGAAAGAGGGGGGAGCAGCTCGGGATAGCCGGGCAGAAGGGGGAAGCTGGAGCAAGACGCAGGAAGTGCTTAGAGCCTAAAGCAGCCGGGGCTCGAGGCCCCCTCACAACGACGCATCAGGAGGGCCTCCATAGCCACTTGTCAACAGACATCCAAAGAGAATTCAGCCCCTTTCATACCGGGAACCTGGAGGTGCTGGCGACTAAGGGATGGACTCGCTGCCCTATGTGGAGTCACACGCTGCAAAAGTGTGATTTAGACCCGCCTCTTCCGAGCTGTGCACATGGAAGTGTTATCGTGACAAGGCATATTATTCGGGAATCCTTGAAAAAAGCGTCCATGGTTGAAAAAGCATAGGAAACACTGAGTTAGACAACAGGTATCTGAGCAGCACGCTTTCTCAGGCCTTTCACTGGGCCAGTGTGCACTGCCAGTCTCTGGAGGGGAGGCGGTTTGCACCATGTCCCCAAACTAGTGACAGGGAAGCTGTTTTCCCAGGCTACCCACGACGTGGACAGTCAGGAGGAACGCTGGCTCAGATTCACCTCTGAGGGGCCCACGCCCAGACGACATTGTGGGGGCCGCTGCCAAGGGACCATCACGGGGCAGCACAGCATGCATTTAAGAATGTAGATTTGGGGGTCAGACCCATATGAGACTGAATCTCGGCTCCACTGTTTACCATACTAAACCCATTACTAGGACATCATCATGTTTCTGGAGCCTCAGTTCCCCCATCTCTAAAATGGAGGTAATAGCTGCTAGGACTGTTGTGGCATCAAGTGAAATCATACTCACGAAGTGTGAGGCCCAGAGCCTGGTCCACGGTAAATACTCCAGTCACAGCCGCCATTATTACTGCTGCCATTACTGGTACTGCTGCTATTACTACCAGTCCCGTGACTCTTACTATCTAGAGACAGGCTCCCAAACAGGCACGATCAAGGACCTGTGACACGAGGTTGACAGCACTGAACTGTGGATTTCTGCATGACCAGTGGGGCTTGGGACATGAAAGGAAGGTGCGTGGGGGCTGCCCCAGTGCCCAAGGAAAGAGCATAAAGTAAGGAGTCAGGAGAGCTGGGGTGCAGTCCAGCCTGGGGTGCTTCCTGGTTGTGGGCCTCTCTGAGCCTCAGTGTCTTCCCCTGTAAAATGGGGCACTCTTACCTGTCACCTTGCCCTTTGGGTTGTTATTAATAACATTGATTGGCATTACCTAGGGGCCAGTCACTCTTAAATACCTAGTATGGGTTGCCTCACTGATTTCTCACTGTAAACCTACGAGGTAGAAACAATTATTAGCCTCACTGAATGGATGGTGTAACGGAGGCACAGAGAAGCGAAGTCACTGGCTGGAGGTCACCCTCATTAGTACAGGGAGAATCTCTGGGTAACAGGCGGGAAAGTGCTCTGCAGTCCGTAGAGGGCTGTGCCAACCTAAAGAACCCTCCTGAGCAATCAGAAGCAGCCAAGGTTTGTCCCAGATGGCCCCACCCAAGGTGCCAGGCCCCTCCTTGCCTCTGTCCTGCGGATGGTCAGCGAGCCATTCTGCAGCCGGTGCCGGAGACGGCTGCCCCTCAGCGGGAGGCCATCTTTGATCCAGCGGATGTTGGGCACTGGGTCTCCATAGACCACACAGTCCAGTCGGATGCTGCCCCCCACAGGCTCTACCAGGTAGGAGAAGGCCTCCCCTTCTAGAACAGGAGCCTCTGTATAAGGTGACATCAGACAAGGGGTCAGAAAGGAAGTTCCCTTCAGGCTCAGCCTCCCGTAATCCTGTCCCCAAAGGCCTGCCCACCAGACCCCCAGGGGCCTACAGAGGCTCCTGCTGGCCCAGCATGGCTGTGTATAGTCAACGCATCAGGGATGGCAAACACCCTCTGTGTCATGGGTCAAGTGAAACAGACTGGCAGCAGCTTCCAGGAGCACTGCGCTGAGAAGGATTTGAAGCTGAGTGGGAATGGTGCTGTGATTGATTAGTGATGCCTGAGACAGGCACAGGAGGGAAGGCAGTGTTATGAGTGTCATACACTCGCGCTCATAGATTATCTAGCTGCAGAGTACTTGCCGGGGACTTTGGAAAACAAGGAGTACGTGATCATTAGAACACGTCTGTTGTACACAGCAACCATAAGAGGCCCCTGTTCCTATATCCTTGCAATCCTTAAACAACTCTGGGTTCCTTGACCAATTTTTCATCTTTCCCTTTTTCCTCAGGTTGACTCTATCAGCAGCTGCAGCTGTTTCCTGGTGCCTTCGGCTGCTCACTGCCCTCCCTCAAACTCCACACCACCCATCCTGAAGTCGAGCAAACTAAGTCATGGCGTCACCAATGGTTACTTGCTGCTCCTGGCTCAGCAGGGGAAAACAGGTAGGCCGGCAAGTTTCATGCATTTTTCTGCCAGAGTGGCCACCTCTCACACTGGCACCACCCAGATGAGAGCAGTCCTGTAAGCTGATAGGCCAGATCTCAATTCTACCTGTTGCTGGGTCATCTGGGGAACGTAAGAAATACGTGATGCTGGGGCCCCACCTCAGAGAGGCAGGTTTACAGAGTCGGGGTGGAACCTGGGCCTCAGTGTTTTTATAAAGTCCCAGAGGATTCTAATGCACAGCCAGGGTGAAGAAATATTAGTTCAGAGACCAGGAGGCCAGTTTCACAGATTTTCAAAAGAAAAACCATCAGATGGGGTTCATGAGAGAAAGGCCACATGGCTCACGCCCTACCCTTCACATGGACGAAGCTGACCGCCTGCACACGGCCCACTCTGTTCTCAGCCCAGCAGACATAGGTCCCACTGTCTTCTCTGGTGACTGCCACCCGCTGCAGCGTGCTGCCCCCGTCCTGTTCAGACACCCCATCTGTGGCAGAGAAAGAGACATCCCAGGGGGCTCTGAGTCCAGAACACCAGGGACTTCCTGCCCTGAATACTTAACTCAGACCTGGGTACCCAGCAGGTGCTTAACAAAGACACAGAAAACAGGTGGCCCTTTTCCCGAGTGGAAAAGCCTGACCCAGGGGAGGCACAGGCCATAGTCGAGGATGTGGTTGAGGAACCTGCCCTTTTTCATTTTCAGGTCCACACCGTGAGCCTGGTGAGTAGACAAGGGTAGGTCTTTGGGGGCCTGTTAACATGCGCCCCCTGAGTTAAAGCATCCCGCCCGCAGGACCCCTGTTATCGCCACTTGAAGATGAAGAAGCTGGACTCAAAGAGGCTGAACCCTTCACCCCTGCTCCCTCCCACGAAACGTGGGAGTAAGGCCTTCTCGTGGGTTTAGGAGGGCCTGGAAAGATCACCTTGCAGTGATTTTTTTTTATAGTTGAGTGATTCAGCAGACGTTTACTGAGCACCTACTATATACCTTGCAGGCCCTGTGCCTCCCTAAATATCACCTGGGGCCCAGGTGGGGAGATAGAGTCCTCCAGGAAAGAGGTTTGCTGAAAGGCCCACAATGGGACCAGCAGCTCTGGGCTGGAACACGGGTCCCTTCTCCTGAGGTCCCCCTCCTGAGGTCCCCAGGGTTGAGTCTTTTTTGCAGGTGGCTTCTTGCCAGGTCTGATATGTGCCTGGTCACATTATGGCCACATGTGGGTTTGGCCTAGTCTGGAGACCCAGAACCCAAAGCACCAACTAACACCCATTTCCTCTCCACTAGGTCGGGGGTCCCCACCTGCCCGCCCTCCTCCACCTCTCAGGGTCCCAGGTCCCCATTCCACCGGCCCTCCAGCAGCCCCAGACCTATGACTGGCCGGTCATTGACAGTCCAGCCAATGCGCGGGGTAGGGCTGCCCTGGGCGGCACAGCGAAGCCACAGCCGGTCCCCGAGGTTCAGGCTGCGGTCCCCAGGCAGGGTGGTGAAGACGGGCAGTGCCAAGATGGTGAGGTGTACACGGCGGCGGGCGCGGCCCACAGGGTTCTCAGCTGTGCAGGTGTAGGTGCCAGCGTCCTGGCTCTGCGAACAAAGGGAGGGGTCAGCCTAAGAATTGCCCCCACCCCCAGCATGGGCCAGAATGTGCTGGGGACCCACTCTCCTGTACGTTCCCACGGAGCAGCCGCCCAGGGAGGCGAAGTGACTTGCCCAAGGCCACACAGCTAGCAAACGGCCCGGCTTCACCGTTGTACCACTGCATCTCCCACAGTCTTCCTGTGGCTCCGCAGCTGCATAATCTAAGCCCCGACCACGCCACTATAACAGTGACCATTTACTGAGCACCTACTGTGTGCCCGGCCCTGCACCAGCTCATCCATGATCGCATCATGCCTGAGGCAGCTTCTGCTTCTGCTGCCTTCTCTGAGAGGAGACGTTCCACGGTGCTTTCCAGCGGGGCTGGTGCACTCACCATTGTACTACCTGGCCTCCTGTGCGGGAGGGTCTGAGGCCCCTGTGACCCCTTCCAGGTGACCCCACGGAGCAGCCGCACGTCCGTGTGGAGAGCGGCCCATTTTGTAATTATAGAATCTGATCAGTGTGATGGGGAAGGGGGTCGGGGGGCCCACCCACACCCCTGGCTCAGGTCAACATCAACATGAGGTTGAGAACAGCCGGGTGCAATTTGGGCACAAGGTCATCGCCTGCCCCGGTCCGGACTCCCACCCTGCCCCGGGAACTAGTCATGGAGGTCCAGGTTCAAATCTTGGTTCTGCCTCTTGGCAAGAGTGTGTCTTGGGAACACTGGGTACACTCAGGCTCAGTTTCCTCATCTGTGTTCTGGGACAATAACACCTATCCTCCAGGTTCCTGGGGTTAAAAGCACTCGGCACAGAGCGTGACAAACGGGGTGCTCAGCAGATGTCTGCTGTTTACTATGAGTCCCCTCTGTGCTCTGCGGGGCCGGGGCCTCACCTCCGAGTTCTTCACCAGCAGCTCCCCGGAAGGCTGGATGGTGAACTTGCCCTCAGCAACAGACACAGGCAGGCCATCTTTTTCCCAAGTGATGTCAGGCTTGGGACTGCCACTGACCGTGCAGGGCAAGAGGGTGTGGGAGCCTTCGGTGGCAGACAGGTCAGGAAGGCCATTCTCAATCACAGGAGGGACTGTGGGGACAGGGAGGTCCACTCAGGGGACTGGGGCTGGGGGAGGGTGGGCCGTTGCTGTTCCAGTGCCCGTGGCACTTGGCACACCCTTCAGCCCCTTCCTCTACCCCCATCTGCTGCTCCCACCAAATCTCTGGTCACTGGACAACTGGGGGACTCTTGAGTTTGGTGAAGCTGTGACAGGGTGACACCATTGCACACGTACGTACACACACACACACACGACTAAAGCTTCGGGACAGAGCCCTCCCTAACCAGGCTCCATGTGGGCACAGAGCCCTCCTGTCGGACAGCCTCCAGGACCACAAAGCCCATGTGCTCCCTGCTTAGGGGAGGAGCGCCACTGAGGCAGAGTGTGGGTCACTGGATGGACGGCCTTGGTGTCTGGCCCTCCGGTGACCAGCAGTGATGCTTCAGGCCACAGGGAAGAGGAGCACAGTGGACAAGGAGGCTCAGGAGGAAGTACGGAGCCAGGAGCCTTTCTGGGCTCAAAGCCGAAGTTCCACCCCCCCACCCCCGCCCCGCTGTACACAGCTGCCTGCAGAGACGGCCGCTGAGACGCCCACCAGAGCAGGCACCGGAGTCAAAGCAGGTCTGAGTATTCCAGGATGCCTTGCAGATTTAGGGCCAGTGATGTCTCCTTTACCTCTGGAGATAATGACTGGTCAAAGTAAGGGAAGGACACGTTTAATGTGTGTGTGCGCAGAAGGGACAGAAATGGCTGTTGCTACTGGAAAGCCGAAATGAAGGAAGGATGACTGGACTAGTGTCCCATGAGAAGCTGGGGGAGGCAAAGGGGACCAGAGTTATTGTCTAAAGCCAGACCTGTGCCCGAAATGGGAGACAGTGATTGTCCGTCAATTCCTTCTAGAACCACAAGCAGTGCTGGGGTAGGAGAGGGCGCAGGGACATGCCCCACCTGGGCTCAGAGCCCAGCAGAGCAAGGAGAGGCTCTCGGGAGCCTCGAAGCCCCCTAGTTCCCCGGGTCCACCTCAGCCCCCTCCCTGGGCCCACCTTGTACCACCAGCCGAGTTTTGCCCACAGCACTGCCGGCGCTGTTCTGAGCGATGCAGAAGTAGTTCCCGGCATCCTCTGGGCTGGCGTGGATAATCTGCAGCTGTCCGCTGGGTAGAACCTGGGTACTGGCTCCTGGATTGGGCGGGAAGAAACCAGGAGCCAGTGGCTGTGGCCACAGGACCCCTGAGCAGGGCAGGAGGGCAGCTTGGTCTGTTCTGTCTGATCAGGCAGCAGGTGACTCGCTGTGGTCACAGGGTGTTGAGGGGACAGAGTGAGTGCAGAAGCTGGACCCAGAGCCCAGCCAGGCTGTCCCCTCCCTCACCTCCCAACCCAGCCCCCGAGCGCTCAGGTAGACTCTCGGGCTCTGGGTGGTAAAAGGGGGCAGAAGGGCAGGAGGGCAGGAGGTGAAGAGAGGGCAGGGGCTTCCTGGATCTCCCAGCAGGAAGGAGGTCCCCAGGCCTATAGTGTTCTCCTCCCTCTGGCGCTGGCCTCGGCAGAGACTCACCTGTGGGGATGCTGAGCCCCTCCTTCTGCCAGGTGATGCTTGGCCGGGGGACACCTGAGGCCTCACAAGGCAGCAGCACCTCTTCTTCCGTCAAGGCCCGAACCACACTGGGCAGTGGCTTCACCACGGGGGAGGCTGCGAAGAAGCAGGTCTGCAGAGGTCCCTGGGGACACCTTAACACCCAGGCCCCTCCAACCCGGGGGCCTCTGAGCACTGGGGAGAAAGGCCGCTAAAGGAAACGGGGCTCCTGGAAACCTAGGCACAGAAGACGCAGGGGGGCTGATTCTTTTCTCCCAGGGTCCCCTCAGGGATGAGCTCAGAGGGAGGCTGAGCATCTGGAACGCCAGTCTTCACCCCGCTCCCCACCCGCTCCCCTGCCCCAAGGGCCATGGCTGCCTGGGGACCCTTACCCTGCACAGTGAGGACCACATGCTTGTGGGCCATGCCTACGGAGTTGCGGGCCATACAGGTGTAGCGGCCGGCGTGGATGGGGAGGGCCTGCCCAATCTCCAGGGCTCCTGCGGGTGAGAAAGGAGCATGAAGAGGGGGAAAGGGACCAGGGACAGACGTCCTCAGTGAGGAAGCCGGCAGGGCTCTCACACCCTGGTGTCTCTGGTCCAGGCCACTCATCTGCCTCCCTGCCCATTTGTAAGCAGCATGCGGGAAGCTGGCTCTAGGCTGGCCTCTGTTCCCCGCCCAGAGCGTAACTGTGGGGGAAACCCGTCCACTCTGAGGACCTCAGCCTCCCCATGTATACACGGAGGAATCGGACAGGATGGTCTCTAGACCCTTCCAGCTGTGGTGTTCCAGGATCTGCCACTGCCCCACCTTGAATCCCTGGCCCACCCATAGCATCCCACAGTCCCCACCCCAGCCCCAGATCCATCTGGAACCTCAGCTGTTTTACATGTCGGGCCTCCCCATAACCACTTGTCAGAAGGAAGGTTTCTATTGCTTCCGAAGCGTTTGAAAACCATAGGTCTGGTCTGTGGTTGTCAGACTTCAGGATTTCACTAACTAACCAACAAATAAATTTAATTTGAATCCCCATGAAATGGCCAGCTTTTATTTTGATAAACAAAGACATTTTAAAAGTCACCCTCTACTATCACCTTAATTTCGTAGAAGAAACTTTCAACACCAAAATATTGAGAAGCACAATTTCAGCATGAAGGACAATCCCTCTAATGAGATAAAACTAGCTTTAAGGAAACCCTCACCCAGCGATTATTTCTCTCCCTTTGCCACCAAGCAGCACTGATTTGCCAACTAGCATCAGGGAACCACTGAAGGATATCGACACTCTAGTGCATGGATGGGGATACTGAGGCCCAGAGAGGGCAAGAGGGTTCTCCCAGGTCACACAGCGAAGGGATGGCAGAGCCAGGCCAGAGCTTTCCTCTTGCTCTACCACACGGCCCCAGTGGGCTGCTTTCACCCCTCTGCCCAGCTCCCTCAGTCTCCCCTCAGCAGCAGCTCTCCGTGGTTCTCCCTTACATACCCGAAGGCGAGACACGATAGCCGTTCCCCCGCACCCTCAGCTGGGTGCCCGCCTTGCTCCAGGACACCACCGGGGCCGGCACGCCCATGCTGTGGCACGTGAGGACCACGGGTGCCATCTTGGTCACAGTGAAGTCTGTCTGGTCATCGGCAATGGTGGGAGGCACTGAAACACAAGACCAGGCTTTGAGGCCCCGCCGGGGTCCTCTGGGGAGCACAGGGCCATGGGCCAGGCGGATAAACAGTAGCCATAAACAGTGACTAAGACCCAAAGTGACATTAGTGACAAAGGGCCCGAGAGGGAGGTGCAACAGAGAGAGAAGTCACATTTGCTCACTCAGGACGTTTCTTGCTGGGCGTGAGGGTAGATGTGAACTGCTCTCTATAGAGATACCGGCCAGGGAGCGTTTCACTGAGAAGGGAGTTGGTGGGAGCTCAGAGTGGGGGAAGGGGCATTTAGTCTGAGATCAGGAGGAGGGGCAGGTTGTCATCTGGGTGAAGGGAGAAGGGTGCAGGAAGAGTATTCATGGCAGGAGGAACAGCACGTGTGAAGGCCCAAAGGCAAAGAACAAAAGGCTAAACAGCATGGCTGGACCCCAGAGCCAGGCAGGCCGTGGGGTGAGCTGAACCTGGGTAGGGGTCGGTGGAGCCAGCCCACAGGGGACCTTGTGGGCCCACGTGACACCCAGCATTCTATCCTGAGGGCAGCGGGCTGTGGAGGGAGAAATTTCAACCAGGGTGATGACAAGGTCAGATTTGGGTTTAGAACATTCTGGATGGGGGAGAAGCATCCTTTTCAAACTCCCATGTGCCAGGAACTGTGTGGGAGCCTGGGTTATGTCCGCGTGGGTGGGGCAGGATCAGCGAGGGCCTCCTGGAGGAGGTGGCCCATGCAATGCAGGAAGGCTGAGAAGGAACCGGCTCAAGTCCCTACAGGTGGAGAGCGCCCAGCAGAGAAGGGTGCTGCCCACGCCCCAGCTTCCTCCTCAGCCGCCCGCGCACCCCAACTCACCGTGGATGGTCACCCGGTAGAGCCTGCGGGCCTCGCCTGCCTCGTTGCTCACCACACACTCAAACTGGGCTGAGTCCTGGGGGCTGGGGGCTGCAAGGAGCAGGGCATTGGACGGGAGGAGCCTGGGGCGGACAGACAGACGGTTGGTTGCTAAGTGACCAGCCTGGCTGACCCGAGACCAGCCAGCCATGGCCTCCCTGCCTGGAGAATCTGGGAGGCGGGGAGTGTCTCATGACTATTTCCCCTTCCCGTATCTGGCTCCCGGCCCTGACTCTAGATGTTTCTTCTAGAAGTTTCCACCTCTAAAGGTCTAGCTGCTGAGTTTGAGGATGATTTTCGTTTTTATCCCTGTTTCTCTATGACCCTGCGTGTTTCCTGTACTCACCACCTACGACAACTTCTCTAACAGGAACCACATCCAAATCCCTACTCAGAACCCATCGTGTCTACTGGGTATGTGCTTTAGCCACGAAGCTCTATGATGACCTGGCACCTGACGCAACAAATATGTGGTGAATGCGCTGGTGAACTGACTCCTGAATGCTCCCCAGTGCCCGTTCCATGATCAGCTGCATTTGAGAAGCGGGTGATGGAGGCTCCTACAGGGCCAGGGGGCCAGGCTCAGCCAGCATGAACGTGGGCTTCCACGTATGTTGTTAAACAGTGACTGTAATGGTTTCGAAGGCCATGCCTTTGCTGTTTGGCAGTGTGTCCCAAATGCCCCCACCCGCTGCCAGGCATCTCAGTGTAAAACCCTCTTGACCCACCAAGGTAGGGATGCAAGTTGTGGTGCCGGCTTTGCTGAGAGCCCCAATCACGTTCCTGCCTTATTTCTGACCGGGGTTCCCTTCTGTGAGATGGGCAGGCCCTTCCCCACCCCAGGTATCTCATGATACCACTGGAAGGACCAGCTCAGTACCGGTAGGCACCCTGCTGCAGGCGGAAGTCCAGCTTCTGTCCGTCCTTCCACCAGACCACGAAAGGCTTGGGGGAGCCGTTGGCCTCACAGGGCAGTGAGGCGGCGGTGTGGGCGGTCAGCGTCAGGTTGGAGGGGCTCGGGGCGATGGTGGGAGGCTCTGGGGAGAGAGCAGTGGTCCGGAGACAGGATGTGGGATGGGGGGAGGTCAGGGGTACTCCCACCACCTACAACCCACCCCCAAGGAAGCAGGGGAGAGGAGGCAGGAGAAACTCCCCGAGGGGCTCCATGAAAGGCTCCCAAATGTGGGGCAATGGGGCTTCTGCTCACCCCTGAAGCTGGCATCCCCCTAACCACCGCTCCTGGAATGAGGCCTCGAGGGTACAGCTCCCCATCAATCTGCCCAAACCCAGGGCTCCCCAGGGAAGCCTCCACTAAGTGATGGATTGGAGTGGGAAAAGCAGACCGGAGTGCCTGGTTCAGTGATTCCGAATCTTATCTTTTCAAGCGTTTTACATCTTTTGCGTGTTTTATCACTAGCTCAATATACTAGTACAGTAGTAAGTGGATATAAACATATGCATAAAAAGTAAATATGCTTAAAACTTTTGACTAATGGGCTTCATGGCCAAAAATGTTTGGAGACCATTGCTCTTGGCTCCTGATAACTAGAACGACCCAGAAACTACGCAGAGTCCAGCCCAGACAGGGGATAGATGCTGAAGGCGAGGAAAGCACCTTCCCTCATCCACCTACCGAAGACCCGGAGGTCACGGCCTTGCCGATCGGAGCCCGCAGAGTTGGACGCCAGGCAGAGGTAGTGTCCAGCGTCCTGGGCAAGGACCGGCTGGATCCTCAGGGAACCTTCGGGCAGAATCTGCAACCTGGAATGGAGGGAGGGTTTGCCATGGAGACTGCAGACCAGTGAAACCTGGCGAGGGGCTGGGCCCCTAGTGGTGTCTCCAGCAAGACCCTTCCCCTCTGCCCATGGCTTTCCCAGCAACTCAGGAGGCTGTATCCATGAGACAGAGGTCAGCGGGGTTATAGCCATAGGCAGCAACCCGCACCCAAAACCAGCATCAGAAAGGGTGAGAGGGGCTGCTTCGGGCCTCCCATGTTCCTACCTGGGCCCAGCCTCTCCCCAAGAGTCAGCAGGCAGCAGCACCCCTGCCTTTCTGAAAAAGGCCCCTAGGTCTGAGAACTGCCCCTTTCCAAAAGTCATGTCTGTTCTGTGTAACCCCGCCCCCAGCCACAGCTGATTGGGCTGGGGAGGAACACATCACTCCAGCTGGGCCAATGGAATTCTCTGCCCTGGGAATTTGGAACTGGGGTTCACAGACAGCTCTCTAGGTTCTGCAGGTTGACCTGAGGAGCTCTGACTTGGGTGCCAGAGGTGGTGGGGGGCATCTATACCATGTTCACAGAGAAAGAAGGTGTAGAAAATTGGTTTGAGAGAGAGAGATAAAGCCCACATACACAGAAACAGAGATCAGCAGTCAAGAGTCAAACCAGACAGACAGACAAAACAGACAGCGAGGCACCAGGGGTTCTCAATGCCCTTATGGAGTAGGCATGCCGTCCTTGGGTACTGAGAAGACCCATGTCTGGATGATAGTCTCCTTGTGCTCTAGCTGCCCAGGTGGGTTTCTATTTACAAGCTGCAAAGCGGTACCTGAGGCGCTCCCCAGTGCCCTCCCCATCCAGGTCTTACCTGGGATTCCCGGGATACAGGGGGACCCCGTCCTTCCGCCAGCTCACCAGGGGCAGGGGTACACCGTCCACCTGGCAGGGCAGCAGGGCTGTCTGGTTCACGGAGGCGTTCACTGTGGGTGGTCCTGGCTGGATGGTGGGCACCGCTGGAGGAAAGGCACAGAGGGAGTGGGTGCTGGAAAGCTGTCGCTCTGAGAGGGGTGGGCAGGGTGGGTGGGGTGGGGCCCACTCACTGTGGATCTCCACGTGGAAGGCCATACTGGTGCTGCCCGCCGCGTTGCGGGCTGTGCAGCTGTAGTCGCCGCCATCGGCCGTGCTCAGGCCCTGCAGCTGGAGGAACCTGCCTTGCTCCGGGAACTGGGTGTGGGCATCTGCCTGTAGGGCTCCCCAGGTTGGAGAGAGACCCTCATCAGCACTGGGCTGGGCCAGGCCAGTGCCTAGGCACCAGCCAAGGAAAACCAAGGAACTCGTGGGGCCGGACAGTGGCTTCTGCCCACTGCGGGCTGGACTGCAGCCCCCCTGGATGCTGAGGACCCTCCTGGGGAATAGGTCCCTGTGTGGGGGGGAGCACCCTGTTCTGGAGCTCTGCCTGTCGGGGAGGTGGCAGAAGGGCCTTATGCTCAGATCAGGGGCTAGAGCTTCTACCAGATCTACAATGCTCGGGTCCCATTTCAGGGTGAGCACAGAGAACCTCAGTCACTGGCCCCGGGTCACATAGCCACGAAGGATAGTTCAAAATAATAATGGGAAGACACAGGTATGCATCAGAAGTCCTCCGTGCAAACCTCAGCCTTGCCTCAGCGTGCCCATCCACAATACGGGGTGATAGTAATCGGGGTGGAGAACACCAGGAGAGCCGGTGGGTAAAGTGCTGACACACGGCAGGCCCTCAGCACCTGAGAGCCAATCTGGTCAGGGTCTGGGGCCTGACAGGGACAGAAGGAGGTATCCCTGGGTCCCCAGCCTGGCACCCACCTGCAGCAGGATGCCATCTCGGTGCCACTCAATCTCGGGGGCTGGATCCGCCTCCACCGAGCACTCCAGAACCAGCTGCCCTGGGGCCAGGCCAACCACAGAGCGGGGGCCTCGGGGCCCAATAACATTTGGAGGGGCTAGGGGGGCAGAGAGGGCATTAGAGATGGACCCACCCCTGCAGGTCCCATCCTGCCTCCCTCTCCTGCCCCTACCCTGACACACCTACCTTGAACCCTGACCCGGAAGCTCTTCTCAGCTTCGCCAGCAAGGCTCTGGGCCAGGCAGATGTACAGCCCAGCGTCGCCCACCTGGGGAGGGGCAAGGTGAGCGGCTGCCACTGGCCCCAGCCTGCCCACCTCCTGACCTGGTTTCCTTCCTGCACATCTAAGGACCCTGCTGAGTCTGCCATCCTGATTTTCCAACCAACCCATTCCCCTCTGTGGGATGCTTCTTCTCTATCTCTGTCTTACCCTTGCTTTAGGGATAGGACAAAGCCTGCCTCCTGCAGGAAGTCCCCCCGGACTGCACCAGCCCTCCTCTGGCCGGGTGGGAAGGTTAATCTGGTTCCTGCATCGGCCTTGGCTCTGGCCTGGCTGGGAGTTCCCGAGGGCATGGCCCAGATGGCTCATCTCTACATCCTTACCCCACACAGAGGAGGAGATCAGCCTAACCTTGCCAGATGCTGCTGGGCCCCTCCCCTCCCCTCCCCCAGACTCATCCCACAGTGGGCTAGACAGCAGCACCTGCACAGCCTCCACCCGGAGCAGCCGCCCAGCCCCTTTGCTGTCCTCCTGGCTGTTCAGGGCCTGCCCATCCTTATGCCAGGTGATGTTGGGTGGGGGGATGCCCCGGGCATCACAGCGGAGCTCCAAGGGGAAGCCAGGGGTCAGTGACAGCTCTGCAGGCTGGCCTGAGTCCTCGATGTGGGGAGGCTCTGCAAAACACCCCACCCTGGGTCAGCTGTGGGGGCTGCGCCCAGAGCACTGGGAGCTGGGGTTCTCTTCCTGCCCCACCAGCCAAATGCTGACAGCAGGCAGGGCAACAAATAGGCAGGTGAGGGTTGTGTGGGAGGGTCCCCAAAGCAAGAGAAACTGGGGGCCCATCTGCTTGGGAAAATGATTTCTGCTTTAAAACCAACAAGGACACAATATGGAGGGGAGGCACAATTGACACAAACTTTTCTAATACAGTACAACGCTTGCAAAATCTTGTGCTTGAGACTCAGGGCTCTGCCCCCGGATTTCAGTGTCTCTTGTCCCATGGTTTGGGGGACAAGACTGAGGAGAACAGCCCCAGGAAAATGAAACATCCCAGCTGCCCGTTCTCCAAGCCCAGGCCTCCGGGGCACTCACCTCCCCCAAAGCCTTCTGCAGGGCCCCCAGAGGTCCACCCTCCCCTCCCTGGCCCAGAGAAGCTGGTGCTGGGGCAGATGACCCACCCATCACTGTCAGCTGAAAATGCCTCCTGGCTTCCCCCGCCTCGCTCCTGGCCACGCAGGAGTAGGTCCCTGAGTCCCCAGCTCCTGCTGTCTCCAGCTTCAGGCCAGGCCCATGTTCAAGGCTCTGGGGCAACAAGGGCTGCCCATTCTTCATCCATGACACTAGGGGCAGGGGGCTGCCCTGGGCTTCACAGGGGAGGACGACCGGGGAGCCACGGACCACCGCCACGTCTTTCTGGAACTCCACGGGCTCCAGGACTGGGGGCACTGTGCAGGGCAAAAGAATGGGCACAATCATTTCTTTCCATGCCAGGCAGCTCTCACCCCTGGACCTTTGTTCCGGGACAATTCCTTCTTATCTCCAGTCCTCAGCTGAGACCTCACCTCCTGCAGCAAGCCTTTCCCTGAACACCAAGGCCGGGTGAGACACCCTTCTCTGTGCTCCCACGGGACCCTCTCCTTCCTCTGGTAGCACTAGTCACCTGGAGTTGTGATTGTCTCTTTACAGAGCTGTCTCCTGACCTCCTAGTAGCAGGGGCCATCTCTGCTTACTGACCTATCCCAGTGCCTGGCAAGGCCCTGGCACACCAGACTCCAATGACTACTTGTGAGATGAACGAATAAGCAACTGAACAAATCACATTGAGTCGCCGTGTACACCCAAAGGGCCTTGATTCTCACACCCTACGGCCGAGGGACAGGTTTCTTCCACACCCCTCCCTGCTCCTTACCATGCACCTGCAAGGTGAAGTTTCTGTCGGCCACGCCAGCTGGGCTTGCAGCCACACAGGTGAAGATGCCAGAATCTGCCAACTGCACCTGGGAAATCCTGCGCACCTCGAGAGAAAGGAGAGAAGGAGAGAGAGAGAGAGAGAGCAGGGCTCAGTGGAAAAGGTGCCTCCCTTTTTCCATCCTTTCTCTCAAAGGCTTGCTGGCCAGAGGGGCAGCTCTGAAATGCAAACTTGAACAAGTCCAGCCTCTGCTTAAACCCCTTTTCTGGCTCCCCAGCACCCCAGAATAAAGCCTGTTGCCTTCTGTGCCCCAGACTCCCTACCTCCACCCTACTGCCTTCTCTGACAGGTCTCAATCCGCAGCCAGACTTTCTGCTTCCTCAATTCTGGAAGCTCCACTGTCCCATCCAAGGACAGCCTGCCTACGTCCCCCACCCCCACCCCCATTCTTCTAGACAATTCTTCCTCATCTTCAGGACTCACCAGAGTCTCCACTCACTCTCTCCACCGTCTGTCCCCCAACTTACACCTGAACCGCTCCTCCTGAGCTGCTCCTGTCAATGTCCCCAGTGACCCTACCGTATTTTGTACAGCCTTAGCACTAGCGACCCGGGGGGTTGCAGCCTGTCCTAGCCCCCACTACCAGCTGTTTGCTGACAATCCCCAAACGTCCATCTCCTGCACTCCCGAGCAGAGTGACAAATGCCGGGGTGCCATCTTGTCTGGATGTCTGAGAACCTCTCAAACCCAACATGTTCTAACAGAACTCGGGCCTCTCCTGCCAACCCGTCCCTCCCACAGTGGACCCATGTCAGAAAACGGGGACCTCAGCCTTCTAGGTGTCCAGACAAAAGCCTTGGTCATGCTCAGCTCCTCCCTGCCTGTCACCTCTGATCACCTGCGCTATGTCCGCCCCCTGGTTCTGTCCAGGCAGTATTACGTCTCACCTGGATCGTGTGCCGCAGCCCCCAGCTGCCCTCCCTGCTCTGTCCTTGGCCCTACCAGAAGGGTCATCTAAACACCTAAGTCATAACCCAAAAGAATTGACAGCAAAGACTCAAACAGATCAGTACTATTTGCAACGGCCAAAAGGTGGAAGCAATCCAAGTGTCCATCCACGGATGATGAATAAACAAAATGGGGTCCACCCACACCATGGAATATTATCCAGCCTTAGAGAGGAAGGAAATTCTGACACATGTTATAACATGGATGAACCTTGAGAACATTACGCTGAGTGAAAGAAGCCAGACACAAAAGGACAAATGCTGTATGATTCCACTTATGTGAGATCCCTAGAGTAGACAAAGTTATAGAGACAGGAAGTAGATGGTGGGTACCAGGGGCTGGGGGAGCGGATGAGGAGTGAGTGTTTAGGGGGGACAGAGTTTCAGTTTGGGAAGATGAGGAAGTTCTGGACGTGGA